ATGGGAAATTATTTTCAGCTTTTTATTGGACTTTTTCTTCATGTTGTTTTATTACCTTCACCAAGGACGTTTTGTATTTGAAATGTGTCTGTAATACAGAATTTGTCTTTTTTTAAACTTTTTATTTACTTACTTGTCCAACACTTGTTTTTGTACCGGCAGTTTAAATAGATGAACTCGTAGCAATATAATAATAATATTTAAAAAACTATTATACGTATTTAAAATAAAAGTAAAAACATAAAGCCTACATAAATAAACAATAATTATAATTAGTAAACTAATAAGTTAAAACAATTTATTAAATGCATATTAAGTAACTTCTTACCAGGATTACAGAACAAGAACTGGCCTTATTTTCATGAAACTCGTTGAAAGGGTATACGATGGGCTGAGAAAGAACCAAATACATTTTGGAGCCGGTCAGAATCACGGGATACATTAATAATTGTTCACTTTCCACAATATTGCATATGTTGCATTTGTCCATCGCTGAGGTCTGTGCACTGTGAGTGCCCTCTTAGTTCTCTGTGGGTTCATCATTACCTACCTACAAGTTCATTTAACACATTCAGATTCAGATGCTTTAAATTTAAATGGTATATCGAACTCAGTTTTCAGACTAAAAGCTATAGCATCCAGATGATATGGCAATATGGTCTCCATTCTGAAGCACAGGTGATCAGTCAAGCTTGATGCTGGCAGGGAGTCTATAAATAAGCCGTGATGCTGAGCGTTCCTCCAGCCCACCTTGGTAGGCCAGTGTAACCTCCAGCAGTTTTACATAGCTAATTTATACCCATCCCCTCCCGTCATGCTCTCTTTTTAAAACGCCACAGTGGCCGCGATTGGGTTAAAGAGATTCATTCGAGGGGATTGTTGGTGTAGAGGGACCCTGATTGAGATCATCAGAAAAGCTGCTAAAAACACATGAGCTCTTGGTGCTGGGAACGTATGAACGCAGTTTCAGGAAGCAGTAAATGTCACTGCTGATTCTTTAATTATGTGGCCCATTCGTCCTCTGCGCTGTGGGAGTTTTAGAGGCTCGCTCAGGTGGGATCCGATTATGGTTTCTGGCTTATTCAAAATGTCACTTTGAAGACTGCAGTTAATGATTTTATTTCTTGAGTACATTTCTGATGTGTTCTCCGCTCGTAAGTTAGCATGCCTTTTTTAGCATGAACTTATCACCACCGATTTCAGCATACTAATGCCATTGGTAACCTCGCTGTATATCTTTGTCCTGTTTAAATAGCAGATGTAAAATACATTTTAACATTGAATCTACCTTTGTTGAGACTTCCAAGACAACGTCACCAGATGTTCCCAGGTCTGTGCAACGCAGCTGCTATCCCGAGAAACAAATCACTTTGTTTTCATTCATGCCGTATAAAGTTCTGGGACCAATATCCAGGCAGAACAAATGTCTTCCTCCGTGGAGCTGCAGGGAGTTGCAGTCAGAAGGTCTCCTGGACTGTGAGCCAGCAGAGATGGGTCCGTTAAAGGCCGACTTGGCGTTTGTATCTCCCCCGAGCACATTATTTATCTCTAAAACGGCCTTGCTCGCAGCGCTGTTCATCCTCCCCCGTCGACCGTGATACAGTATCCTCAAAAGATGTTATATGGCTCTGTAAATCTGTCATCTTCCGATTACCAACAAATACTGAAACCAAATATTGCAGAATTTCAATCGACCCCCCCTTCCATATAATAATCGTAAATACTCAAGTAGTTCATGGGAAGAAAATAAACTTTGAAGCTAATCATTACAGACTACAAAGAATAAAGAAAATATTGTGGGAGTGTTTGAAAGCACTGTACTACTGCTTTCTCTCAGTTGCTGTTTTTCAGCTCACCTCCCATCTGGCTTGAATTGGATTAAGCTGATTACATCTTAATTTTAATACTCTTTTGGGGGGTTGGTGAAGTGTGGTTGGTTTTCAGCTGCATGTCGTAAAATCACTGTCCTGGTAAAACATTTTATACTGTGGCCCAGAAAGCTTTTCAGACAATGGCATTGGTGTAAATCTTGCCTGGAGCACATACGGCGTGCTGGGGGGGTTGGTTGGTGGGAGGCTACCATTTATCCCGCCTGAGCCATTTAAGTCGCCTTGTGGGAGTCAATGGTTTGGGCTCTTGAGTGTAACTTAGAGTCAGTCCTTGGTAACTTTAGCTTCATTTGTCTCTCTTACTGAGAACTCTGGGCCTGTTAACTCAGGTCATTCCCCCGTAATATGGCAATCTCTTAATTTGACCCTTTATTCCTCCACAGAGGAGTGATGGGAAGGATCTGTAAAACCTCTGCTGCTTGGAAAGCCTACTTAGTGACCTTTTTACAAGACCTGAAAACATTGCCGGTTAACATTTATGTTATATTGCTCAAGAGAGAGCTTTTCTAGTGTCATTTTACCCTACGAAGACTGAGAAGCAAGAAGGTATGTATGGTTGGAATCTTGCAGGGTTAATTGGTTGGTTTTTCCAACATTATCTAAAGAAATTAAAGACATTTGAACTTATTTCTATGTACAAGGATGAACAACCAGTGGTGGAGTTTACATGAAGTACATCTACTTACCATTTGCGAGTCTTCTGTGCAATGAGGGATCATTATTTTGCACTTACTTTTAACCTCCAAATACATTTGTTTTGATCATTCAAAGCATAACTGATGTTCCTGCTCCTCTATTCTTCCCTGTGAACTTTGCTGAAGTGATTTTGCCGTGTTCCCGGATCTCAATAATTGCTTCAGGGAGTACGATGTTATCATAACCGGTTGAAATTATGCCCCGAATCTACAAAAATAGTGGTTGAGAGTTCTGTCTTCAAGCAATCAGTTCTCTCTAATCTCCTTAACCACTTGCATGCTTCCCCTCATGCAACCTAATACCCAATCCTGCCTTTGTGTGAAATAACAATGCACCATATTGTTTTTTCTCACCTCATCGTCTTCACAGATTATTGTTTAAACTGTGAGGAGACACCTCAAGCAATGTTGTGGTAGAGAGCTGGCTCCAAGTGGGTGTCAGTCAAACACGTTCATTTCCTCCTCGGTTGTTTGGTTTTAAACTCTGGGCACATCACCGATGCCACGGTTTATTTTCTGTAGTCATATGTTAGCAAATATGAGAAGGGGGTATCATTTCTGTCAAAACGTGCAAGTCCTCATCCCTCCCGCTGGCACTACAAAATACACCAGTTGGATGTGGATAATTCCCCAGTATGTAGTCTCCTTCAAGTCAAACCACCTAATTCCCATACCTTCAGCAGCAGGTTAAGAATGGTTTGTTGTGTATTTCTCAAGGATAAATGTATGTGTGTGTGTGTGTGTGTGTGTGTGTGTGTGTGTGTGTGTGTGTGTGTGTGTGTGTGTGTGTGTGTGTGTGTGTGTGTGTGTGTGTGTGTGTGTGTGTGTGTGTGTGTGTGTGTGTGTGTGTGTGTGTGTGGTGTGTGTGTGTGTGTGTGTGTGTGTGTGTGTGTGTGTGTGTGTGTGTGTGTGTGTGTGTGTGTGTGTGTGTGTGTGTGTGTGTGTGTGTGTGTGTGTGTGTGTGTGTGTGTGTGTGTGTGTGTGTGTGTGTGTGTGTGTGTGTGTGTGTGTGTGTGTGTGTGTGTGTATCGAGACATCCGCTCTAGTGTTGTGATTAGGGTTACTGACTATTTGCTCTGGAGTGCGGCACATTCCTCGCAGCCTTAATTGATAGCAATCATGTGGCTTTTGATTTGGTGTTTGATTGGAAGCTTGGATTTGAAGTCTTGATTTGAAGGGCACAGGGTTTTTTATTGTCTTTGGAAAGTGAGGGCTGGATTCCTGAATGATAACCTGCTACCTTGTAAGTCACATGAAGGGGCACCAGTGGGTTGGCACCGACCTTGACTTCTTTTCACTTTTTGTCTCTTGCCATTTCAGGAAGTTATAACTGGAAAGTCACTCAGTGAATAGTATATTCCCTCTGCGCCAAGAGCTGTCCATCTCGCCGGTTGTTTTTCTCTATAACCAGAGGTATTGTCCCTCCAGGGGACACCTGGCTTGTTCCCCACCTCCACAGTGCAAATGTTCCCTAGCTTAAGCTGCCAGATGTTATGAAAGGCTCTATTGAAGTAGACCTTTAGCTCATAAAGAAATCTAAAAAAAAGTCTCCATGGCTGAGAGGTCTATTCTGATAGCTTCAGTGACTGGACTATGTCATCTGATTTTACATGGGGATCTCACATGTAACTCCTTGTAAAACCAAACACAGTCAGGAGCCGGACATAAAGTCATGTGCTCCTTTTGTTAAGATGTTTTGGAGTCTGCATATCTGTGCATGCATGGACATTTCAGTTTTTTTCTTAACTTATTCATAAAAACAACGCTGTCAAACCAAAATCCAAAACATGCTAGTAGATTCTCTTGCTCCGTACAACTGAGAATTTTTGACATTTCCAAAACACAGTGCTGGCAGTAGACTGAGTAAAGCTGTCCAGAGCTAAAAAGAAATGAAAAACAGCAGCATGAGCTAAATAAAATGAGGAGAAAAGTGGAGTGTAAGAGGCAGACATTTGAGATTTTAGAAGAAGAAATGGAAATAATCAAAGGAAAGAAAGAATATTGGTTTACAATTGTTGTCTGTCTGCCATTATTCCTACTCTCTGACTGACACATACACACACACACACACACACACACACACACACACACACACACACACACACACACACACACACACACACACACACACACACACACACACACACACACACACACACACACACACACACACACACACACACACGCGTGTGAAGTTGTGAGGTTGCAGCTGGCCCTGTTCCTTGTTTGAACTAGCATGCTTGACTGAGGCACATTTATTGATTGGCTAGTGTGCCAGACCTGAAGGACTCGTGGGGCTCGGATCCTGTCCGATTACTCCCCCCACATTCACACAAAAACACACGCACACACATATACACTCCCAGCCCTCCTCCCCTCCCCTTACTCCTGAGGAAGAAGGGGAGCGAGTCAGAGAGGAGCCGGCAGGCAGACAGACGCGACTCAGAGTGACCTGGAGAGCCGAGCGTCACACACACACACACACACTCAGAGCCGGAGAGGGTGACTCACACACTCTGGGAGGCATGGAGCGACATGTTGTATCTTGCAAGCTACTGGTGACAGCTCTTCTCATCCTGGTACTGTAACGTTTCATATTTTCCTCAATCTTTATCCAACAAAAAAACATTGTCTTTTATATTCAATGTATTCATTTAAATACTTGTCACGTGGGTTCTATTAGATTGCTTTTCCTGTGTAGGAGTGTGTCTGCATGTATTTTTGGATTAAGTGATTTATGCAGCAGAAATGCACTCTTCAGATGGTGGAGTCATTTCAGCTCTAACAAGGCAGTTAGTGTGAGCTGACTTGTGTTATTGAGTTTGGCTCAAACGTCCCTATGCCTCCTTTGTTGTTGATAAGTCACAAAAGAAGACTTGTCATGTGTTTGTTAGCACTCCCTGTTACATTACAGTGAGTGCCTTGCTCGACGGTGAGTACAGTGGCGTGCTGCGTTGAGCAGACGACAAGGGATTCAGCAGATGTGCAAAATATCGTATGTCTTTCCGACTGAAAAGGCCATCGTGTGTATATTGACACAGTCTGCGAAAAAAGGCTCCAGAGTCTGGTTTCTTTCCCCTGCCGATGAGTTTTCCATCTTCAAGGAAAATGTCCTTAGTCTCAGCTGCTGACAGGTGACTAGAATCTGTCCATCAGAATAATATAATATGGGGATCACTGGTCTTTTTTATCATGTGCTCATTTCCTCTCTTCCACTTTGGATGCCTGACAGCCACAGGCGCCTTTTGTGGTCACATGTTTGCTGTTTCTCTCCAAGTTAAAGAGCCAGAGAACAAATGTGTCTAAATGTTGTGTAAATGCTAGTGTTACAGTGCAAATAAAACCCCAGAGCAAAAGAGGTTAGGAAGGCTCCAAGTCGATACTCGAGCCTTTTGATAATTGGATCCAAATCCCAGCAGGACTGCCGTGAGCCTTGTGTTCCTCCGCCTTTTTATTGAGAACAATAGCAGCACCGTCAGCCAAACAACCTCCACATCTCCATCCCTCCGTCCCCTCCTCTGTCTTCACCAGCCTTGTTTTGCCTCTGGCCCTCTTGGCTTTGCAACACACAGCTCCCAGCTGTAAATGAGGTCAAAATTCACTGATTGCTTTTCAAAGGAGAATTAAGGTGGTGTGTTAACCGGCTGCCCAGAGCACTGCCTGTGTTTATTTACCGTTGATCCAAACACGAGAATAGTTGGCCCGTGCAGAAAGTAGAGCCGATGCGTTTGGCTGCATGCTCCATTGGCGGCGTGTTAAGGTCTCTCCGTTCCCCTCTGCTGTTCCTCAGGCGTCATCAGCACTGACAGCCATTTATATCAGTCCCCACGCACTTTTAATAACGTGAACCCACCACCCTCGCTCCGTAGCTTACAGCATGGGAGTTTTTGCTACCGTGACCCAAAGAAAATAATCGAGGCAGTATTATTACCTCGATTCTGCTTTCCCCTGAAATCCATTCATCTTTGTAGACCAAGCACAATGCCATGCTGTTGAAAAGGGAAAAGGGGCCAAAGAGGTCAAAATAACTCGGCGTATCCTGAGTTTTTCTTCTAAAATCCCAAGGCTTTGTATCTCAAACGCAAGGCTGGACATTCACTGTAAACTATTTGTCAGGTCAGTGGGCATACATCTTTTTGAGGGCAGGTGTTACACATAATGTTCTCTGGCTTATTCAGTGTGTTTATAGTAGTAGGGCTTGTTGTGCACCACATTTAATTCCTAATCTGCAGGACTTTGTATTTTTAGGTCACTTTGAAAAACTCTGCTGCACAAACTGGTGTACAGATCCCGTGCAATGTCAATAGCACACAAAAGCTGACTTTTTGAAAACGATGACTGCCTAAGTGTTCAGGTTATTGTACAACATGATAATTTTCTCTTGGACCCATCTATTCCTTTTCAAAGCCTTAAATCCTCTGTTGAATGGCAGATTATTTTATTGAATGTGTTTGCACCTCACGTCTTTGAAACCACATTCCTGCTGCCATGGAAGGTGGATGATTTGTCCCAGTCTTGGTTCCAAGTCTTTTCTTTCATTTTCCAGGTTTTCATCCATTTAACAGGTATAGAACCAGCTATTTTGGCAGCTTTGAGTGGAATACCTTCACGGAGCTAAGCTGCCCTTGTTCTAGATCGCAGAAGCAATATATTTTCCTTTTCACTCCATCTGAATCTGTAACGTAGTGCTCTGACTTCATTCAGTCAGACCTGCAAAGGGCATTGAGAAGAGCTCTGCTGCTGAGCACAGCCAAGACAAAGAAACATAACTCATGTGAAGCAGTAGGTGATCCGCATCAGATGACAGTACCAGCCTTACAAATAAACACCTTCTTTAGCGCAAGGTGAGTCAAAACTAATCTGGAAATACAAAAAGGCCTTGAAAAGCAAAGAGTAGTACAAATATTTTAAGATAGGGTTGAGGATCTTTTATTTCTTGGCTCTTTCTCTTCATCTGAGAACCACATTGTCCTTGCAGTCACAGGATTCATCTTCTCATAATATTGACTTTGGATCCTGCAGTAATAGCCCTACAGTACCTCTGCTGCCAAATAAAGCACAATGCAATTAGCAGAGAGACACACAAGCGAGGCCCGAAGTTAAAGAGAGGACTAACTTTTCATAATCTGAAGAATGACATTTGAGATATTCAAAAGGGGAAAAGTTGAGCGCTTTTGATTATTTCCTCCTGCACTCTTGCTCATCCTGTCACATTCACTTGTGTTTCTTTTTCAGCAGCCCATGGAATTTAATTCAGGATAGCAGCTCTGACTTTTCTGTGCGTCCTGATTTAAACCAAGGAAGCCACATATTGTATCGCAAAAGAGGGATACGAAATAATCAGTTTGGTTGGGACTTGCAGAGATGATGATAAACAATATAAAAGACAACATTGCATTGGTTTGAATGGATGTGGTGATAAAAGTGAGAATGCTAAATGGTAACTGCTCAATGGTTTCTATGACAGATCTCTCATGGGTAACTCATCACATCCTCCTTCTCTTCTGTCTGTAGAGCTCGAGGACGGCGCGATCCGAGGAGGACAGAGACACTCTGTGGGACGCCTGGGGTTCATGGAGTGAATGCTCCCGGACCTGTGGAGGAGGCGCCTCATACTCCCTCAGAAGATGCCTCAGTTCCAAGTAAGTCTCACACATGCTCTACATCAGGGGTGCCCAACCTTTTTTTAACCGAGAGCTACTTTTAAAGTTGCCAGTCTGCCGAGATCTACCAGTCCAAATAGAGAGGCGTAGCCATTGTTGACAGCCTACTACCAGGTAAATACACACTTCTACTTGTATAAAACTGACCTTTGTACGATTAATACTTCATAAAATACTGCAGATCCTTTATCTTACCTCTTTCTAATCTACACACATACAAGTATTTAACTGAAGTTACACAACAGTGTTGTTGATACAGAGTTGGAGTTTATTCACACGTCACATAGGCTACTACAGTGGGTGATGTTTTCAAGAAACATTGAACAGTGCTGCCACATATGACACAGGGAAAAAAGAAAATACTCTGAACCCTTTCTTTGCCATTATATAAAAAAATAGTGTTGCTACAAAAGTATAAATTAGGCTTCCTAATAAGACAACTCAGATCTGAAGCTACATAGGAATCTGCTGCCAAAGTGCAATAAAAAAAGACAAAATTAATAGAATCAAACCCTTTTTTTGTTGCATTTTAGTAGATTATAAAAAGAAATGCCTTTTTAAAATAGGATGCAAGCAACACTAGTTTCTTAACCTGAATTAATAATAGACTATAATCAATTTAAGTTTGCATTCTTATACCATTTTGTACAATAATTATAATGAATAAATTCAAACAAACTCAAACTTACAGCTGATTAATAACGGTATCTAACTTGAGTTTTTATCATATCAAAAACCTGTTGAAATGCTACTGTTATTTTTATTACGCATCGGCAGCCTCCAGGAATGCTTCTTTCACAACTTCGCCGTCTTTGAAAGACTTCATGTGTTTCTCAAGAACGTGACTGACACGATAAGATGCTCTAGTAGCAGCCTTGCTCTTGTTGTTGGGCCTGGTGAAAATGGACTGCTGTGCATTTAGCTGTCCTTTCAGGCCCCTCCCCTTTTGGAGCGTAGGGCAGAATTAGGAGGGAATTCCGTCTCGTAGCGTTTGTGCACTGTTTTGAAATGCCGCTCCTAAATTACCCTTCTTCGATAAAGCCACGCTCGCATTGCAGATGAGACAGATGGACTTTGAATTAGAATAGATACAAAAATAATCATCCTCCCACTCGGAGTGAAAATTATATATGTTTTGCTTCTGCCATAATTGCGGTCTTGTGTGTGTGCGGACTGTCACTCCTACGGACAACGTTAGCGAACTAGTGCACTGCCCACTGCTCACCAGCCACGCCCTGACACATGGGGTCACGCCGGCCAATCACAAAGCTTTGATGCGTTCAAGTGCATTATTCTGCCACAGGAAGATTATGTTACAGGACATTAACGATAAAACTGAATATTGTTGTTCTATTTTTAGACACATCTCGCGATCGACTGGGAATCTCCCCGCGATCGACTGGTTGGGCACCCCTGCTCTACATACAGGGGTGTTTCCACAGCATGGTCTACTTGCCATTTTGGGTTTTATTGTAGCAAATGTTGTAGAGGGTACCTGGTGTTTTTGTTGGTGCCACCTTAATCAAGGTTAAGACCTTCGATTGGTCGGAGAGAATCTTCAAGCAACACCATTGGTGATACTCATGTAACATTTGTAATCATAATATCTACCTCAAAATCACACCTAATGTGGCCAAGAATGGAATTTAAGGTAATGATTTTAACTAATGAAACAAAAGTGCATTTACTAAATGTAAACTCCTTGCTAGTTAAGCCAATCAAAAGCAATATCTGTTGTGATCACTCATTAGAGTTGGTATAATGTACTGTAAGGAAGCATGTACTGTACTTACACATGTGAACTATGTCTTTCTTAATTGTTTGTTAAATGCATAACTAAATATGATAAATTGATTAAAAACAGCCCCTTGAAAATAATTGGCATTCCTTTTTTGGAGTCCTGTGGACCCTTCGTACTTGGAGTAAAGAATACCTTAAGTAAAAGCGACGATTTGTAAGTGTGTGTTAAAACACTATCCGAGGTAATCTCGCTTTTATAAAGAGCTAAGTCCTGACTGGGGTTGGACTGGTTTCCATTAAAGTGCCATATCACAGCTTTAAGATTTCGAGAGAGGGAAGGGAGGGGAGTGTGGGGGGGGGTTCTTTTTCTTTTTGCTTAGGGCCGTTCTGCCAAATAAATCCAGACAGCGTCCCTAATAGTGTGAGTAAATCTCACTCCATTCCCATGGGCTGCAGTGAGAGTGCTCACAATACACATGACTGTAATGTGACGGTTAAATAGCCCTGAGGGGTCAACTGAGATCACTTGCCCATCCACCTCCTAGTGCGGTCTAGACGGCCATATGAGAATTAATCTTGAATTCATCAGTGACAATGGGGATATGATTTTCAGTAATGACCCTTTTTTGTTGTAAATCAAAGCCTACAGTAACAATCAATGTATCTTGCCAAAGTGCATGTCACTTTTAATAACTTTACTGTGATAGAGTTTGGGAACCCATGTTGGTTTGATTCCCACTGCTCATCATCTCGGCTTAAGTCTGGGGACGAACTTGAACTTGCACTTTGGACCTCTTTGTCCTTTCATCCCGGTGCCAAAGTCGCCCGGTTGGTTATGCTTCAAGCTAACTGAGCACTTCGGGATTAAAGCTTGAGGCAAAGTGTAATGGACAGAGTGGTCAATTACAAGTGGATTTAAGGAAGAAAAAATAGGAGAAAAGGGAATGAGAGGGTATGTTTCCTATAAAAATGTTGTCACATTTATTGACTGGGAAATAGCTGCGGCGTGACTTCACTGCATTCCTCTATTTTACAGTTCCCCGAATGTATTGCTCTCTCGCTAAAGGTAGCCAGGAATGCTGCTAAAGTCACCCCTGTTTCAGTGTTTGGGGTTCAGGGGGAGATCGTAAAACATTACAACTATCCAAAGACAAAAAAAATAATGCAGATCATACCTGAAGTCTACCATAAGGTGCTTTATAACCATCTGTCTGCACTGGTGCTGGGGAGCCAGGCTGAAAAGCATGAGGCTGTGAAAACCTCAAACTGAAAGGGCCAGACCCCCCATGTGCTACTCTGTAAACACTGAGGTCAATGGCTTTTTGAGGAGTTCATTTAATGATATCAGCAGCGGTCATTTCTCTCTGCTTGCCCAGATTATTTTGGTCAGTAACACCTTACAACGCTACTGGCTGTAAAAGCAATTGACGTGTTAAGAGGTGTTTGGGGTCTGAGCCTCATGTGGGATGTAGGTGGTGTAGAAGTCCGCGGCGGGTATGTTTACAAACTCGTGTGTTGTTTGGCAGTAATGTATGTATTTTCTTTTTGGGGAGGAAATGGTAGGACCCTCCGTCCCACCTCATCCCACCTCACCCTGCTGTTGCGTGGGAACACGGGAGCGGTAGCCTGGGACCGGGTAGCAGATCAAACGGCGTCATTAAAGCCCAGCACAAGGCCCCTTGTGTGTGTGACTCTTTGGAAAGAGAGGCTGGAAACGGGCCTGCGACACCCTCCAAACCAATACCACTCCAACTCCCTGACCTTTAAACACACACACACACACACACACACACACACACACACACACACACACACACACACACACACACACACACACACACACACACACACACACACACACACACACACACACACACGACCAAATATTGAAACGCACGAGTGAGACAACCGCACATGCACAGCGCAGATTGCTGGCCCTCATTAGTCCCCCCTTCACTTGATCACAATCTCCATTATTAACAACAGCATTGGAAGCGAGTGTGGACATATGGATTGAGTGTTATGGCGAGAGAAAGCGCTGCTCATTTCTTTTACGAGGCTCGTGGTTTGGTCATATTGGTCTTTTATTGTTTATCAAATTGAGGCCAGCCTTGACTTTATTTTGGCTTTTTTTTGAATGTTTGAAAAAGTCATGTACCCTATTATAGAGCAGAAACAATTAGTTGACTTTCAAATCAACGGGAAAATAATCGCTAACCATTCTAATAATTTATTAATAATTTTGTGTTCAGCCTCTCAAATATAGTGATTTCATCTCTTTATCTTTTTTATATCATATTAAAGTGTTTATGTTTTGGTTCAGAAAGACAAAATAAGACATTTGAAGACATCACCTTGGAATTAGAGAAACTGGAATAGACATTTTTCCCTTTGGAAAAAGATCAGTGAATCTAGAAAACGATCAGCAGATTTACAGATAATAAAAATAATTATTATTATCAGACTTACCCCATTAAAACCTTCCTACATGAAGAAATAAAGCTGCACAGTCCTATGCAGGGGAACAAGTTAAATACGTATATAAGTGTTGCAAATAACTTCTCACCCAGATGAGGATGTGTTTACTCTTCATTGGGTCTCTGATTAGCAGAAATGACTGGCAGTAGCATTAAATGACTGGAATGTTCACCAAAGCCAGGCAAGGCTGTGTTATAAAGTCTTGTTTTTAGATGGGGGTGGTGGTTAAAGGGAATGACTGATTTAGCTGCCCTAATTAAGTTGGGCCTGGCACCTTGATTATGTGTCCTTTATAGAATAAGGGACCACCCTTTGCAGTGCTAAAAACATCTGAAAAAGTCAGCTTGTCACGTAGATATTTCGTCTGGGAACCATGAATGTCTGTACGAATTACTTTTCTAATCCGTTTTGTGGGTTCAGAGATATTCCACTGGATAAGTGAAGACTTTGACCTGCACTTTATGAGATGTGACCCATTATCTGTTATCCTCAAAATATAATGATCTCCGGCTCTTTTCCAAAAACGTACTGACAAAGGAAATAAGTATTTCACTTTTCTACTATTCTTTCATCTTTCTCAACTTTATATTAACCTTCCTAGATGTCCTGAATGCTCTTAATTTCCCAAATTGATCACAGGGACTATTTTTTGAACTATTCATGTGCCCACCCACCTCAAGTGTATCAATATTATGGCAAAGGTCATGGAGCCCGGTTGCAATTACTTTCAATCTAGTGAGAAGACTTGATGACATACATATAGACATTATGAGCCAAGAACACTTTAATGCATATCCAATATTTAAAGGGAATTCATTTTTCATGGTTACTCTAGATTTGAGTTCCTGTCTAAGAATGGGGTTGTTGGCACTCTCGATGCTAGTTTCACTCTCTATGCAGTCTCATTGATGTAGTTGTGTCTTCTGTGAATATTCGGCAGGAAAGAGCATAGCCATAGTTTATGAGTTATGTGTTATGTGCTCCTGACGTTTTTTTCCCTAACCTATAATGACGCCATGATGAATCTCCAGTCCCGGCCCGACTTCTGCTTAGCCTTCACTTTAGCTTCCAAAGTTAAGAGGAAATGAAAAGAGAAATTCACTTTATTCCCTTTGCCCCTATATATATATTGCTCTTCTTTGCTCCTGTCTCTGGAGTCTTTGAAAGGCTCTTGTTTGGGTCCGAGCCTCGTGACCCGCTGTTTGGCTCGGCAGAGGGGACCGTCTGGATACGTAACGGAGTCTAATGTTCCTGCCATGCCCATGCCACACAATTCACTCCCTCCGCTCTCTGGAATCTTATTGTACAAAATCCTCCAGCCATCGCTCCTCCGTGAGTCCAAACTCCACGATGTTGCCTCCAATCATGATTCCAGATTAGCTAAAGGACGACGACACTGGAATTCCTCGAGTTTCCAAAACTCAAAAGAAAATCCTTTGATTAGTTTCCACTGGGGGCTCGGATAATAGGCCTATCATAGTCACCATCAATGGTTTATCATCACTCGGCATCAAAGCACAAAGGAATCCTTATTTTCAATAAGCGGTTAGCTCCATCATTTGGGTAAAGACACTGCGGACTGTCGTGATCCAAACCGCTCCGATCTGTTCAGCAGACGCCACTCTGCTCTACTACTGTGTGTGCACTTCTGTTGGCTTACAAAGCGATGACCACACCGACCACTTAGAAAAGAGTTTAGTATTTTATTTTTGGATTTTGAGTACCTATGGACTCTGTTTTAAACATGTTCTAATACCTTATGTCCTGCTTTATATCTAAAGTTTGTGAAAGTTCATTTTCAGACTTTGACCTATTCTTTTTTTTTCCTCAAGTAGGCTATGCAAGTTTGAAATCAATCGTAATTTGCTCCATTGCAATATTGCAGGATTTGTTTCATCCTGTTCCTCACACAAACATCCCCCTTGTGTGAATCGACCATCACAAAATTGGAATGAAATTACATTTTAGCAAATATATCACAAAGCCCTTGTTTAAATGTTGTTACATCATCAATATAGGATTCCGAAAAAGAGTCAATAGTTGGAGAAGATGGCTGGTTTGGATTGTGTTTTTTTCATCATTAACCTCACATGTTCATTTCTTTCTTCTGCAGGACCTGTGAAGGGCAGAACATCAAATATCGCACCTGCATTAATGTGGTAAGTTGGTCAAATTCAAAAAGCTTTTAAGGGCCTTTTTCTTAATGAAATGAGCTGAGCACATAAGAGTGGTGGAACTGTCACTAGGTTACCAAGGTTTATGATCGAAGGGTGTAATGAAGTCATGTATGATTCTCTTGTTTGAGAGACAGTGAGAAGTTAAGTAGGGGAACATCACTCTAGTTCTCCTTTCAGTTAGCGATCACTACTTTGACATTCAGCAATCGCTATTCTCCTGCATTACAGTTGTGATAGTCTTTGCACTAATTATAGAAATTGGCTTAACATTTTCTTTGCCCCTCAGGATTGTCCTCCAGATTCCGGTGACTTCCGTGCCCAGCAGTGTTCGGCCCACGCAGACGTGCGGTACCAGGGTCAGTACCACGAGTGGCTTCCTGTGTACAATGACGCCGACAACCCCTGCGCTCTCAAGTGCAAAGCGAAAGGCTCGGGCCTCGTGATGGAGCTGGCCCCGAAAGTGCTGGACGGGACCCGCTGCTACACCGAGTCTTTGGACATGTGCATCAGCGGAGTGTGCCAGGTAGGAGGAAGAATCCCACTGTGAGGACTTCATCTTGCTTCTTTTGAATGTATCTATCATGATAAGCCCCACACTTACTGTATTACGTAGGCAAAATAGAGGGTCTAAAGACACACTTTTAAGAAACCAATAAATATAGTTTTGATAAATCTTATCAAGAAAATCTGCAAAATGCATCCTCCAGAGTGCCGTCTGCCAGGCTTAGATCAAATTGAACGCATTTTTGTAGAAAATTAGGACAAACACAATAATACATATATTTATATAGCGTTTTTCCTGGTGCTCAAAGCGCTTTACATTACATTTACATTACATGTAATTTGTTAGACGCTTTTATCCAAAAAAGTACTGTGGACAATCCCCACAGGAGCAATTTGGGGTGAAGTGTCTTGCCCAGGGACACAACGACATGCTGACTGCAGTGGGACTCAAACTTGCTATCCCCTGATTCAAAGTCCAGCACACTATCCACTGAGCCACAGCCGCCACCGCTTTACACGCAAGTAAGCAAAGGCTCTGTTACCCCAGGTCCGGAGCATTGTTCCGACGGGTCAGCAGACCTGAGGCGACAGGTGGGGGTGTCTGGTTGGATGAGGTCACAGAGGTAGGGGGGGGGGCAAGCTTGTTGAGGGCTTTGTAAGTGAAAAGGAAGATTTTAAAGTCAATGCGCTGTTTGATGGGCGACCAGTGGAAGTCGGGAGGATAGGGGTGATGTGGTCCGAGTATTTATGCAGCTTAATCAATGTAAAGTTTTAATTGAATCATTAAAACTTCAGCTTTGATTTGTTACTATCCTTTGACAATTTGATTTGAGACACCTTTTTGAGATTAATCAGATTATTTGAACAGGAATTTTAAGCATTTGCCTTTTTTTTATACAATTTAAAGCTAAAATCAGTCTCTAAAACTGAATATCTTATACTCGTCCACACGATATTAGCTTGTTTAGCTCATTAATTAAGACAAATGCTCTGTGCCAGAAATGAAATAAAAACACAACACATGTTTTTATTGTTATTTAAACAATACAATTTAAACAGTACGTTGACCAACAATACTAACGTCTCCACATCTGCTTTACAGATGAATCTTTAATGAGGATAATATCTGAGTGACAGTACAGGAAACACTTTACAATGCATGTTCTCCCGCTTGAATGAAATGACGTCCCATTCGTTGTGTGTGCAGAGGCTCTCTTACCAGGCTTATTATCACACTGTGGTTCTGGTTTTATCTTACCGACAGACATACTTAAAAACTCCATTAATCAACTAGGCATGATTGCAGATGATGTTTTAAAAAAACACTGGGGGACAGTTTAAGCAGGCTATTGTTGAAGTAGAAACAATACATCTGGTCTGAATATGGAAGAACCCTGAGGGATGGTTTGATATTTGTACTATAACCTTTCAATAGTATGAAGGAAGACATCTTCTTGAACTAACTCAACATAATATTACTGGGAATTTTACAAGTATCTTTGTTCTTCTTTTTATTATTTCACAGTTTATTTATTTTGATAAAAATGAAAATTAGAAATCATATTGCTGGACAAGTTTTGGATAATGTTTTTTTTTATGAATTATGTATTTGCAGTGGTATAGAGTACATTTACGAGATACTTGTACTTGAGTATTTCCATTTTAAGCCACTTTCTACTTCTACTCCACTAAAATTCAGAGGTAAATAGTGTCCTTTTACTCCACTACTTTGATTTTGCACCTTTAGTTACTTTGAAGATTTGAATTAATGATGTGAAAGGTGCTATATTAATACAGTTTACACTTAAATAAGACTTTAGTTACACAAGCTACCCTGCAGCCCCTTTACTGCCTTTGATAACACTTTAACGCATCAATAATTATAATCAAAACATATTATATACATTATTCTGAAATGGACCAATCTGCATCGTGAGTATTTCTACTTTTGGTACTTTAAGTATATGTTGATGCTCACTCTTTTGTACTTTTACTTGAGTAACATTTTGAATGCAGGACTTGTACTTGTAACAGAGTATTCCTACACTCTGGTACTTTTACTGAAGTTTTACTGAGTATCTCTGTGTATTTGTCTATGTGTGATAGATTGTAGGTTGTGATCATGACTTGGGGAGCGCAGTGAAGGAGGACAACTGCGGTGTGTGCAATGGAGACGGCTCATCCTGCAGACTGGTGCGAGGACACTACAAGACCCAGCATGCATCAGGAAAAAGTAAAGTATCTCACTTCAACAAATTCAATTAATAATCACCTTCTGTGCAGTCTTTCTTAGTAAAATCAGTAAGTGTTCTTATTGTATCTGTATTGGTGATCTGTATAACTATTAATGATATACTTAAAGCTGTTTTTCAATGTCTCACTGCAGCTGAGGACACGGTTGTTGCCGTCCCCTTTAAGAGTCGTCATGTTCGCCTGGTGCTGAAAGGCCCGGATCACTTGTGTAAGTCTTGGTAGGTCCAGGGTGCCCTTCCATCCAAAACAGTTGAACATGATATTTGTATTTGGCTGTGTTTTTTATCGCCAAATAACTGCACATTAAACACAAGTTTTCTACATGTGCTTTGGGAGTTTTACTGCCGGTCATGTTGTGTTTTAAAGACTTGCGATTCAAAATAAATATTACTTTTCCATTATAAGTTATACTTGCTTGACCTCTAATGAATATCTCGCCCAAAAAGAATTGTGAAGTCAACATTTCATTATGAAATATATTACATTTTGGGCTCCGCTTTTGAAAGTAGCTCAGCACAGAATAACCAGATATTTATTTTTCCCCATTGCTCTGGCTCAGAGAAGGTGTGAGGCTTCCAGCAGATCTCTCTGGTGTCAAAGTGCTGGCATCAGACTCCACACTGTTTCAAATCGATAACAAATGTTCCATTTCAGCATCTAGCTTTTTTCCACGCTTAGTTTACAGATTGTTTCCTGGGCCAGGTCGAAAGATTTTCTGAATGGACAGATTTTTCATTTAATATTTCCCTCTTGCTCTTTGGCCAAAAAGCTCTTAAATTGTAACCATGTGTCTGCTGGTTGCTGCTTCCCGCGTTCCCCCATTGTTTTTGTTGAAAAGTCCTTGCTGAAATCACAAGACCCTTATTAGGCCAGGGATAAGGGGAGGTCAAACAGTGAAGAGGTCACTGCTCTTCCTTTAATTTGCTGTTTCAGTTAGTTTTACAGTAACGAGGGAAAATGTAGACAAGAAATGATGATGATAGAAGATGTTGAATCTTTCTTGTATTTTAAGTTTAACCTATAAACTTCATTTTGCTCAAGCGTTCACTTTGTTTCCTCTTTCTAGACGTGGAGAGTAAGACCCTGCAGGGGGTGAAAGGTGAGCTGGTGTTGGATAAATCTGGGCAGTTCCTCCTGGAGAACACCACCCTGGACTTCCAGAAACTTTCCGATAAGGAGATCCTGAGAATCACCGGCCCACTTGGAGCAGATTTCACTCTCAAAGTAAGAGCCTAAGTATATCTATATAAAGCTGTACTCGTTTTTTTCCTCCACGGTTTTGTTAATTGAGGTTCTCGGGGAAGAAGACCAAGCTATTCAGTTTTCGTTGCCCATTTTTTGACAGGAAAATGTACATTGATAAATACCTCAATAGGTGGAGAGCTAGTAGTAGTGATAATTAAGTGATTAGTATAAGAAATAATTAAAATATAACAAAATTGTATGGAGAAAATAAATAGAAATAATTCTTTTTAATAAAATAAAGGAGAGATAGCAATAGGGACAACAAATATGTAAAAACCTTGGTTACAAATAAATAATAATCAAAAAACTAATAACAAATACATAAATGAAAAAAAAGATTAGGAAAGACAATTCTAAATAATTACAAACAAAATAAAAGAGAGTTTGTAATAGTGATACAACATTTTAAATAGAAAATAATAAAAAATAAATGAGGTAATACAACACAGTAAAGGATGGAAGAGAAAATAAACAAAACCATAAGGAAAGGTGCTATATAAATAAAGCTTTATTAGATTATTATAATGAAAAACCCAGAGTTTCAAACTAGAGAAGAAAAAATCCAATATTTTTATATTAATAATAATTATATTTGTGTAATGTAAAACACGTTTTTCATAGTGATGAGTCCACAGAGAATTATCTCTCAACTCTTAATTTCCCCTCCGCTTAACGTGAAAAATGTGTGTTTGATTCATCGAGGAATGTGAGGCTCGATAAATAATCACTATACAGTAACTGTAACAACATAACACTTCATAAATCCATATTCATAGATTCCCCTCATAATTCAGTATTGGAGCATAGGATTCTTTTTTGACAGAGTTTACATTGTGTGTGTTGTGAATGCATTACACACGTACACTCACATGCTGACACTCTAGGGCCAGTGGGTGGACATTAAGAGTTATACTTGGAAACGCCTGTGAAAACTTCCCTCTTCACACACACAACTCAGGATCAGACAATAAATATGAATTCCGGAGACAGAAATCTGAGGATTTATAAATGCATAATTGCCTAATCTGTTAAAAGGTAGACAGCCAAATCATATCGAAGTGCTGGAAAGGTTGGAGAAATGGAAAATCATATTAAAGAGTCTCCACTTCACTTAATGTGAGTGAATGGCAGCGGGGTTGATGCATACATGTAGATATAGTCTTGCTTTAGGCTTTTTTTTTTATGTGGTGAATGTGTGAGGTTACGGGAATTATGTTTTCTGAAATATTTCTGACACTTTCCCGAACTAAAAACAAATGAGGCCTTATTTTAAAGGTCACCTATTATGCAAAATCCACTTTTTCATGTCTTTTATACATACAAATGTGTCCCCTCTGTGTAAAGAGATTCTGAAAGTTTCAGGAAAAATATTTGCTCTCTTTTTGTCCTGATATATATAAAAACCTGTCTGAAAATGAGCTGATCAGATTTTGGACACTTTATGATGTCATAACGATTTTTTGGGTCGTGCAACTATTGGGCTTTCTTGAGGCCCCGTAGAAAGTAGAGACGCTGCTGCGCCTTTTTGACCAGGATGGAGGAATTCAGAGACCAAGTGAGGTCGTCGGATGTGAATGCCATGGAACTTGAAGCTCGACACACATTCCACTGCAACTCCGTTGATGCAGATGGGGGTGTGTGCATGGCTCCTGTCACGCCTGAAGTCCATGATGATCTCCTTGGTCTTCTTGGTGTTAAAAGCCAGGTTGTTGTCAGCACACCACGAGACCAGGTGCTGTATCTCATCCCTGTAGGCCGTTTTGTCATCACCTCTGATCAGGCATACCACCGTGGTGTCGTCTGCAAACTTTATTATGGTGTTAGAATCATAAACAGCAGTGCAGTCATGGGTGAACAGGGAGTACAGGAGAGGGCTCAACACACAGTCTTGTGGCACACCAGTGTTCAAGGTAGAAGTGGAGGAGGAGAGTTTGTCTAACTTCACAGACTGGGGTCTGTTAGTCAGAAAGTCCAGCATCCAGTTACAGAGCGATGTATTGATACCAAGCTGGCGAAGCTTGGAGATCAGCTTGGAGGGGATCACAGTGTTGAATGCTGAACTGAAATCTATGAACAGCATTCTGGGCTATCCAGGTGGGTCAGGGCAGAGTGGAGTGCCGTGGAGATGGCGTCCTCTGTTGACCTGTTGCAGCGGTAGGCAAACTGGTATGGGTCCAGTGTAGCAGGCAGACAGGATTTCAGGTACGAGATAACCAGTCTCTCGAAGCACTTAGCGATGATGGGGGTGAGTGCAACAGGACGGAAGTCATTAAGAGCCATAGCGGTTGAGAGCTTCGGCACTGGCACGATGGTGGCGGTCTTGAAGATGGTGGGAACAACTGCTTGGGCCAGGGACAGGTTGAAAATGTCCGCAAAGACCCCTGCCAGCTGCTCTGCACAGGCTCTGAGCATGCGTCCAGGAGTTCCATCAGGGCCAGCTGCCTTCCGAGCGTTCACCTTACTCAGGGTGGAGTAGACATCGGAGATGGAGAGTGTGAGTGGCGGTTCATCTGGTGGTAGGTCGAATTTGATGGGGACCTCCTTGTTCTCCCGGTCGAAACGAGCGTAGAAGTGGTTGAGGTTTTCGGGGAAGGAGGCGGAGCTTGTTGGGGGCATGTTGCCTAGTGATTTATAGTTGGTGAGAGTCTGTATGCCTTGCCACATACGCCGGGGGTCTGAGGAGCTGAAGTGCTCTTCGATCCTCTGGTAATAACTGTATTTTGCCTGTGCGATTCCCCTCCTCAGGTTGGCCCTGGCTGAGCTGTAGCCTCAGCTTAGCATTAATATTATAATAATTATTGTCACTCTCATCCAGTTATTATTTATCACTTTTTGTGGTGACAACATGAACACTGTTCCTGTAGGTGCAGTTTTCCAGTGGAGCGGACAGTGTGGTGCAGTACATTTACTACCAGCCCATCATCCACCGCTGGAGAGAGACCGACTTCTTCCCCTGCTCCGTCCCATGTGGTGGAGGTGAGTGGAGAAAATGCAAAAAAGGATAGTACCGAAAAGTCTCCTGTGGTAGATAAAAGACTAAATCATTGACGTTTCTTGTTCATCAGGCTACCAGCTGACCTCAGCAGAGTGCTTTGACCTCCGGAGCGGCCGGGTGGTGGTGGATCAGTATTGCCATTATTACCCCGAGAACATCAAACCCAAACCCAAACTCCAGGAGTGCAACATGGAGCTCTGCCTGGCCAGGTTAGACCGCAGAGAACACTCTTTAAAACGTGTCAACAGTAGATTGTATGATTCTAAATCTTCATTTTCTTTTACTGATTTTGCCTTTTAGCGACGGCTACAAGCAAATTATGCCATATGACCTCTACCACCCCCTGCCTCGGTATGTATTCTCAGCTGTGAGGTACCATAAAGTGCTGCAGGGAATGAGCATTTTTTTAAAGAATTTACCTAGTATTCTCTGGAGTCTCATTCAGACACTTGTTAGCAACAGCCTTTTTCAAAACATGAAAGAGCTTCAAAATTAATAAGTGGAGTATTTACTGTTATATTTTACGTAATAGAAAAAAACATCAAAAACCTTATTTCAGTCTAACCTGAAAACCATTGACAATGAGACAAGATTACCAGAAGTGCATTAATGACTCTTTTTTGGGGGGATTTAGGACTCATTCCTGCAGTACTCTATAGTGACCCAACAACACAAATTCTGACATTTACCAACCTATCTTTGATTTGTGGTGTCAGATGGGAGAGCAGTCCCTGGACGGCCTGCTCCACCTCCTGCGGCGGAGGCATCCAGAGTCGCTCGGTGTCCTGTGTGGAGGAGGACATGCAGGGCACCATCACCACCACTGAGGAGTGGAAGTGTCTCTACTCCTCCAAGACGGCCATCCTGCAGCCCTGCAACGCCTACGACTGCCCCACCTGGCTGGCACAGGAGTGGTCACCTGTAGGTCAATTTTTAGTCTGTTTGAACACTCATTTTTAATGATTATCACAGGTACTTATTGATTGGATATGTCTTTTTTTAGAGTGGCTATTTAACTGATTAGCTTTTCTTTTGTGAGTTGCTGTAAAGCCTCACAAACTAAAATAAATTCAATAACAAATTCATGTTCATATGTTTTTTAAGTCTGAAAAGAAAAGCATGATTAATTGACTTGTAGAGAAATATAAATATACTGAGAGGACAGCCTGAGCTGTGACTTCTTCAGACATCCAGCAGAATTTGTATGGGAACACTTGAGAATGCTTGAATTTAAACACTAGCTCCCTGTGTGAATCAGAGTACTGCTCACCTCAATGTAAGCATCCTTCACCACATCTAACTTGAAGGCTTTTCCAAACCAACAGCACATATTCTTAAACTCTTCTTCTGCCAAACACATCCAGTATATCTGGGTGCTGCATCTTCATCATCTAACGCTCCTGTTAGCTTACTGATGTGGCAGAGTTGCAGTTACATTAACCATAAACATCCCATACATCATCCTCGTGGGGTTTTTTCAGCCTCACCAGTCGTACGTGCACAAGCAGAGGCCCAGGGAGTCAGATTTGTGGCCCGGGACGCTGTTTACCTTGCACATTCTTCCCTGTGAACTTGCCTTTAAATGCTTGTTTTGGCAGCGGATGCACAAAGTTCACTCCTGAGCAGAGCGCTGCAGGGATTTTGGAAGGTCTCTTTGCTTTTCCTCGAGTCCAGGGCTTCTGAGACTTAACACGTTAACCAATGTGTGTGTGATAATCGCCGTGAGTTAATCCACGATTCTCTCACCGTGTCACCCTGTCACCACCAGTGCACGGTCACCTGTGGGCAGGGTCTGCGCTACAGGGTGGTGTTGTGCATCGATCACAGAGGACTCCATGCTGGAGGCTGTAATCCCACTACCAAGCCCCACATCAAGGAGGAGTGCCTGGTGACGGTGCCCTGCTATAAATCCATCGGTAGGTCTGTTTCGTCATAATAATAATACGTGTCGTTTATATAGCTCTTTCCTGGTGCTCAAAGACTCTTTCTATGAGTTCTAGAGGACTTCAGATTTTTTTCAGGTTCTCCCTTTCTATAAACATGAACAATTTGCACATGCTGTACTCTTATTGGCAAACACTACCTCAAAGGATGTATTTTACTTTTAATTTAAAGCTACTTTACACAAATGTTGAATGTATATCGTCTATGTTCAGTAGATTGGTACATAAGAGAGTATTCTAATTTATTCTTTATATTTTGTAGTGTTTAGATACTCTTCTGAATATATGTATTTTCTGAGAATATGTACAGTATATACATATATACATATATATATATTTATTCTATTTTAATTTTATTCTATTTTTCCGAAATCTGTAATTATTTTACATTGACTGTCAAAATGCTGCAGTGACAAAACTATTTCCCAACTTGGGATAAATATAGTATGTATCTATCTGTCTAAACATTATAACCTGCACAACGCATTGTGTAAATTGCAAACTATAATTAAACATTGCTATTGGCAGATATTGAAGCATATATATGTTTATAATGCTTTATAGACATAGGCGAAAGATGTAATAGATTGGGTTCTTCTGTCATGTTTTAACTCTTAATGTTGACCTTATTTCTAAATTAAAATCTCTCTCATCCTTTGTCTTTCCTGTGATATTTTCTGTAGATACTCTCCCAGTGGAGGCCAAACCTGTGTGGCAGAAGCAGGCCATCGAGCTGGACGAGGAGGTCAGCGTCGGTGAGGAACCAACGTGAGTAACACACACACACACACACACACACACACACACACACACACACACACACACACACACACCACACACACACACACACACACACACACACACACACACACACACACACACACACACACACACACACACACACACACACACACACACACACACACACATATATGCATGCATGCGCAGGAAATAGGCTATTAATGGGAATTCATGTCGGAATGTCTCTGACTAATGCTTCATTATATTGGAAAACATATATATTTGTACTTATATTTGACTGATACTCTGCACAAAAAACACGTTATACCATGCCATATTCATTTAAAATATATATTTCTCCTACTTTTTGGGGCATTTTTATGTTCTGTATTTATGTTTTTTCCTTTCGCACAACCTAAAATGTTTTATTGCAAGCATCAAACACACGGCCACATGATCATGCATGCACACAAAAGGGATATTAATGGGAATTCATTTTGAAATGTCTGTGACTGATGCTTTATTATATTGGAAACAATTCTGTTAATTTACTAAGATGAAACAAATAAAGCCTCTCAAGCTTCGTAGCCCAGAGAAATAATCCCTGTCACTCTGCACGGACAGAAGAAGAAGTCAGATCGCAGAAACAACAACAGCTTTCACAGCTCAGAGCGCAGCTTCTACCTGGAGGTGAAATTGAAGCCGACAGGGCTGGCTCTGCCATGAAACCCCAACAGTATCGTGGTTGTGTTCATGTCAAAGGCCATTTGCAAGAACTTGGAGTCAGAGAGTGGCTGTAGCTCTGAATATTTTCCTGGCGCTTTTCAAAATAGGCCTCTTTGTAAACCTGCCAAATGTTTGTCAGACACGGTGGCAGGAGAGTTATGTCAAGAGGAGTAAATAAGAAGTTTAACGCACCAGTGAAGGTGTTTATCGTGAAGTTTAAGTAATGAATTTGCTGTGCGAGGTTATTTAGGGTTAAAGGGGGAGCTGAAGGTGGAAGACACAACATATTTTTTGGAAAGCAGCTGACTACCAGCATTACCTCAGCAAGCTTCCAGATGTCCCGCATATCAGTGTACTCACAAAGGCCTCTGAAGATGGACTGTACCCAGTGTCTTGCATGACTTGTATTATGTTAGCCAGTTCAAAAACATCTGTTACTGTGACTTATCTTTGGAGCGCGAGAGTGTGAGGGAGGGACGCCAAGACATATGAATTTGCTCTATTGCAAAAAAAAAACCTTCCCTCGCAAAGCACATAAATATCTGTGTATAATACGCAGTCATCCACAAGCCAACAACAATATCTGCCTACCATATGGGGCCAGGTTACGGATGTGAGCGGAAAGAGAAGGACATTCCTGAGTTAGACTTATTGCACCTCCACTGCTTACGGCCCCGAGCCACCGCTGTGCAATGGCTTGAACAATTAAACCCATATATGTTCCACAGCGAGGCCAGAACTGATTATTTTAACCGCTATGAGTAAATAAAATATCTCCATTGATTGAATTAATTTGATACGATCAACGAGGGGCTTTGGAAGATATCACAAAAACCCTTTTTCTTTTGTCCGTGAGTGAAATCACGATTGTTTTCGAAGCCGCAGATGTACTTTAACAACGCATGAAGATACACTTTTCCGTGGGGTTCGCATGTTGACTTTGTTGCTTTCGTTCCAAGCTCTAACTGCCGGTGATTCATTTGTTTGTCCAAAACACTACGAGTCCTGGAGCACTCGTAAAGAGCCCAGTTTGCTGCAATAATGAGCTCTTTATTGAGGCATCTTATGAAACAGCAGGGTGTCCGTGTGTTGTGGTCACACTGGTTAACTCAGGAGGAATGCTGCACATCGGTTGGTCCCTTTATGACATCCATGTATCTCATAATGCCTGCTGCAGGAAGGTACTTGGGTAGGTTATAAACCCAGAGAGTGATTTACCCGAAACAACTTGGCTGACTGGGGTTGAACAATATTCCTATCCAATCATATTCCTATTTTCAATAAAATGACCAAAAACGATTTCAAAAAGGAATTAGGGCTGAAAGGTTAATCGTTAAAAGATTGCAATCTTGATTCACTCACGCACGCGACCCATTTCTGAACCATTCTACCATATTTGCTTTGGAGAGTTTAATTTTTAGAATGAATGCTCATAATTTGTCCCTGCTGCGGCACGCACACATGCACTTCAAGGCAGACAGCCTCTTCCTGAACCTAGAGCTTCACTTACACTCAACCAATCAGATCAGCCACAAACTGTCCGTGAGGTCAGGCTGGGTCCGGAAGCTTTTCCTTAAGTGAAAAAAAAAAAAAAAAGACGTTATTACTCATCTCAGAAAGTCCTTTAAAGTATATTTGTGGGGACAACCACAGTACACTACTTACAAAAGAACTGTCATTTATTATCGAGAACTGTACCAAGAAAAACTCAACACTGAAGAGACTGAATGATTATCACAAAGTGTGCTGAAGAGCAAAGTTAGTCTTCTGATGTTGTGGTGGAAATGACAAAGCACTGTGCTGATATTACTGAGGTTTTGTAAAGTGTATATATAGACATTTTTATTGATTGGGATAAACCCCTTGAGATGCACCATCTCGTTTTCAAGGGGGGTCCCGATGGTGTATATCTTCCAAAATAAACAGTGGTGAGCTCCGCCCTGCAGAGGACAGCTGCTGCATGTTGTAAATATTTGGGCTAACGGTGGAGTATAAAAGATGGATGGATATAAGACTATAACACAGTTGCGCAATGGAAAAGGTAGAAAAGGTCTGATGAAATGCCTTTTACCTCCTCATGTCCAGCTAGGTTTATGTGTACGAAGAGTTTTCAGGTACCCCAAAGTGTCTGTTGTTGTACTTTGTGTATAGTGTCACCAGATCTGAACAATGACTTATTATTAATGTTCTGGAAAACACAGCAGCAAATACATTTTCCCTTCCTTGACCCTTAAAATAACTACGCTTTTCATTCAAGATCAAGAGTAAACTTTCAAGTTATAGTATCTCTGTTGTGAGGCGCTGTCAGTTTTTGGGGCTCTAGCTCTCACCCAACCTTGACGGGCCTTCAGGCATTCGTGAAGTATTTTCCCTCTGTGATCCATACTTTAAGACGAGGAAGGATGCACATGAAAGCCGTTTATCCTAGAATAACTGATCCTAATGCTTCACAGCTGTTCAATTAACCACAGCAGGACTGGATTTCATAAATACTCAATGGATTTATGAATTTAGAAGTAAATCTGTACACAGGGGGAATGCACAAAAGTAATTTAAAGTCTGCTGGTTTGTCCTAGTCAAACCAAAAATGTTACTGCCTTTCCAAGTCTGTTAGCATAGTGTGTGAAGTGTACTTCAGCAAGTGTTTATGTATTTATGTGTGCGATTAATCTTCCCGTATTCTCTCAAGGTTCATCCCCGCTCCCTGGCAGTCCTGCAGCAGGACGTGTGGCGCCGGGACTCAGCGGCGGACCGTGAGGTGCCAGGTGTTGCTGTCCTTCTCCCAGTCTGTGGCCGACCTGCCCGACGACGAGTGTGAGGGGGTGAAACCCGTGACCAGCCAGCCCTGCTACCGTACGCCCTGCTCCGGTGTTTCGGACAGAGGGAAAGAAAGTGAAAAGGAGGAGGAGGACGAGGAGGAGGAGACACCCGAGAGAGAGGAGCTGCACGACTGGGAGTATGAGGGATTTACCGAGTGCTCAGAGAGCTGTGGGGGAGGTACGGATCATTACTGAACGCTTTAATATGAAAAAGCAAAGCAGGACAATAAGAAAGAGCAGCAATGCAAAGTTGAGAGGGGCAGAGCAGTGATTTGAGCTAATGCTAACATGCTGACCATGACAATGATGCTGATCCCATGCTGAGAATGTATAATGTTCGGCGTCTTAGCATGCTCACATATGCTAATTGCACTAAATGTACAACTGATGGAAGTAATGATGGGAATGACATGAATTTTGCCGACATTTAGTTAGGAACCAAACCAAAATGTTGACCCTATAATGGGACTAGATGGAAAATATCAGTTGAATCAGCAAAATCAAATAATATCCTGATAAAGTAACCCTTCTCAATTAGTAGTGAATTTTTCCAGTTGCTGTAAAACGATGCATCTCAGCAGTAAGCGGTGACCTATATCAATTGATGGCAGTATAGGCTTTAAAGTCGAAGGTTATATGACATAAAATGATAATGGGAGTACTTCTAAAGGTCATTCCTCATAGACTCTCTCAGTGGCACCAGAGAGAAACAGCGTTCCAAAACATCCTGCCAACATTCATTCAGGCCCGCTTTAATCTCCCCACAACTTTAATTTCTGCAAATGGGTGTAGGCTTTTGTCTGTGTGTGCTCACCCTAACCCAACAAACTCACATTCAGGGATGATTACAGAGGGGTATCAGGTGTCATACACACCCGAGGGCTGCGCTCCTGTGGACCATCACACCACTGATGCGTTTGAAGTGCCCGCCTCGCTGTTATTGTCCCCAACATTTGAAACAGATTTATGTCGCGTTGCTTTTAACGTGACATGACATCACACCCTTAGAGTTTATCCACAGTTTCAGGTCCTGAAATGAAGCAGGCCGCTGCACCGTTTCGATGTTTGTTGCAGTTTGACCACCAAATAACTTCGCACAACTGGTTCATCGGATTCACTGCAGATTCAAGCAAACATAAGCAGTTTTTGAATTGCAACAAACTAGTCAAACGGATGCAGAAAAAAGCGACACTATGTTGTCAATTTGTAAAGACTCTTAAGTAAATGCTTTGTCAGATCTGTTCTAAAAACAACAAGCAAACACGGTTTCTAAGGCTTGTTTACTAGAACGAGGATTACACTCAATACAGAAACAACTTTATTGTTTATACACGTAAATATATTGACATTGCGTTACTTTAAAGTGTAAACAAATCTAATTTTCTTTAAAAAAATTACTTTGGCCTCCATTTCTGGTAAAACAACACCTCTATTTCAGGAAAATCTCAACTCTGATAGGCTTTTAATGTTATAACGGCCAGCTAATTCCTTGCATGTTCCATGTGCAAAGAAAGTGCCTTCCATTTAGGTACCATAATATTTGGATTGCTTTATTGCTTTAATACTTCATGCGTGTGAAGGTGATCATATTTAAGAGATGCCTAAGAAGAACAGTATGAGGTTGCATTTTTGTCATTCATTCTAAGCAGATACGGTACAGGGAGATAATTCATTTCTAAAAACTTGACCCTTCCCTATAGCTCATGGTTATTTGGACATCCTTGTTATTGTTTCCTGATCTCAGGTGTGCAGGAGGCTGTGGTCATCTGCCTGAACAAGCAGACGAGGGAGGCAGCCGAGCAGAGTCTGTGTGTGAGCTCCCGACGCCCCCCCCAGCTGCTGCAGGACTGCAAAACCCAGCCCTGCCCACCCAGGTACACTAAATCACAGACATACATCATTACCATTGGTTTAAAATGGTTTGCGCACGAACATAAAAACACACATGATTGATGGATGCAGTAAACCCGAGGAGGAAATGTGTTTTTTTTTTTTTTTTAAATAAAAAGGTTTTGGCTGCATTCAAGAAGAAAATATTAATTAAAAGCAGGACTGAGATCTGGCTCTGCTCTTTATTAGTTTGCCAAGACTGTAACCCAGAAAAAAATGCAATATAGAGAGCTGGGACATTCATGCAGCGTTTCCCAGAGCCCTGATCCTTTCCTGGGTCCTGCACCTGGAACTGCTCAGCTTTCAGACGATCAAAGAACTCGCATCACACCAGCTGGATCAATTAATATCGGCTAATCAGTGGTTGTGTACAAAATAGATTAAAATCCTTCTAATCCACTATGTTATGCCTTTCCCTTTAAACCACATGGGCCAATCAAATGATCATTTATCAAGTGATACTGAAGCAGAGTGACAGAGATCGATGGCTGTATCTTTGATAACAGGAAATGAATCCAGCGGGACGGCTTGTGAGAATAAAGCACAAAATAGGGACCATGTGTCGGTGGTGATATCTGCTAGGCTGACATGTGAAATTGCGCTTGGAATGAAACCTTTTTTTCAATTGTTTTGTCAGCACAGAAATTCAGGAGGCCTTTGCTGGAAAAGTTAGCAATACCTTTTTGAAGACTACTGTAAAAACGCTTTAATTTGGCTTTTTATACTACTATTAATGTCCTTTAGTGATGACGCATCATAGGACAGGTTAATAATGTTGACATTTCTCCTGTCAAGAGGCTTTCAGAAGCGCATCAGGGCGTCATTCAAAATCTAAAATGTGCATCTGCCATTACATTATGACATATTTTGTATCCAAAGTTGACATTTTGCCTAACATAATGCATGAAAAGTTCATCCTTTGTGAAGAATTAATGTAAACAATAACGTATTTTTGCTGATTTTGAGGGAATAAAGCGGTCAAAACAGCAATCATTTTCTGGGATTATGTTTTTTCAGATTTTTTTGGGATACAGTGGATGAACAACGAGAACCCAAAATGAAATACCTGAATGGCTAAACAGCATAATAGCATGATGTCTAATATTACTAAGCGGTGAGTGGATTTTGCGGTAGGCCACACGTTTAAAATTAACACCGTGCACAGTGTCGGTGTTCCACCACTCTAGTCAGAAAACCCAGAGGCTTGCAGCCTGACCCGGCCTGTTTTTCCAGGCCTTGAGTCTTGTTTTCAGGCACAACAAACGCTGTATTGGACTTGTTTCCTTTGGCTCTTTACTCCCTCCCTGAGGCCTCCTCACCCTCGCATATTAAGCTACACTCTTTGGATACTGTTCCCTCTGAAGGGAAACAGCCATAGGATTTGGCTTTGAGTATAGTACCGATCCTGAAAAAAAACCCTCATTCCCAATTCTCCACAGTCCCTGGACCCTTGAGTAAACATGAATAGTTTTGAAAATTCACCTAATCTGTCAAGCAAGAAGCAAAACCGCTGCCATCTCGGTCAAAGCCGAAGCTTTACGATGCCTTTTAAAGGCATAGTGACAAAGACACATGCCGCATCGTTTTCAAGATTAGAATAAATGTGCTCAGAAAACTTTGAAGCTGGATGCTTCTTTCGAAAGAAAATGTGTTAGGCATCAAAAAGAATATTGGTACATCGGGGTCGTTGGGAAAACACAAGTGAAGACATTTTGCCTTGGGATTTCTCAAATATCCTTAAATTCAGTGGGAGATTTGATGTTTCTCTGACAGCATCTGGCCCCATGAATAACTCTTATTTCGTTTTCACTTGTATTCACTTTCATGAATTTGCACATTCATAAGACTGCAAGGGCGTCCTCTCAGGGGATCAAGTAAAAACATCAAGATCTGACTGCACTCCTGTATAGATTGGATAATGTGACTATCTACATATGCATTTACCCTAAAGATAAAGCATGTTGATGAATCTGGAACCACAGAGGTTATTATGAAAAATCCACTTCATGTCTTTTTATAAAGAGACTCTGAAAGTTTCAGGAAAAAAAGATTCTCTCTCTTTTTGTCCTGAACCATTTTATATAAAAACCTGTCTGAAAATGAGCTGATCAGATTTTGGCCACATTGTGATGTTATAATGTTTTTTTGGCTTGTGTAACCATTAGCAAATAACCAACCAAGGTAACCCCCCCCCCCCCCCCCCCCCCCCCCTCCATCTTATCACCTGAATCTTCTCCTAGAGCACCATTGTGTTCTTTGTAACCAAATATCTCTCAGAGGGGCGTGGGGAGGGGCTCCTTATTTTCATCTAAAGTAACAGACAGAGAATCAGCACTTTGGAAACAGGGCTGAAACAGAGGGGATGCTGCAATGCATGATCCGTTTGGTATTTCAAGTCAAACACTTCAGAGACATGTTTTGTATATATCTGAGACCTATAATCTATTGATTAAAAAGAGTATAATAGGGGACCTTTAAAAGTTAATAAACTGTGTGGTTAACAAGAAAAAACAGGAAGGTTACATTTGGTTGTCAACATTCCGCAGTTTGATGCTGAGCGTTGTGTTTGCAGATGGAAAACTGGGGAGTGGAGCTCCTGCTCTGCTAGCTGTGGGGTTGGTCTGATGACCCGCACTGTGGCCTGCTCTCACCGACCCTCCCGGGACAGCAACCGGACCGAGGTTTTGCGGGATGAAGACTGTCAGAGCCCCAAACCCATCCCGGTCCAAGCCTGCAACCGCTTCGATTGTCCTCCCATGTGGGACACTCGAGCCTGGGGACAGGTAAAGGATCTCACTTGTGTTTCCATCCCTATTGTAAATACTGCAGTCATTTGTCCGAGGCCTGAAATACAATTGAAACCTTTCCCAGTGAAGACAAAAGCCAGATGTAAGTGGGTGTTAGTGGGGTTTTTGTCGAGTTGGAAAGGGGCTTTAGGAAGTTCACCAACATAAATGCCTGGCACAGCAATTAGACTGAAGCGTCTAGCCCTTATTGCTAATGTAATCCCCGGCACATCTGTGTTTTCGTAGTGCTCCCAGAGCTGTGGAGGTGGATTTCAAAGGAGGCAGGTCCTGTGCAAACAGCGGCTGGCAGATGGCAGCATCCTCGAGCTGCCTGACACCTTCTGTCCGTCCGAAAGCCCCCCGAGCCAGCAGATCTGCGCCAAGCTGGAGTGCCCAGCTCGATGGGTCACCACTGACTGGTCCCAGGTAGACCCTCCTTTTCTAAATATACCATTTGCAACCTCAACAGGATCTGCTTCATGTCTTACAACATCTTTTTTATCCATCCAGTGTTCTGTGACCTGTGGAAACGGCATTCAGAGACTAGAGGCAGTGTGCAGAAGACAAGGGGAGGATCGGAGACATCAGAACGTAGACCCCGAGAACTGCTCCCTGCTAGCCCGGCCCACCAAAATCAGACCATGCTCCCTCAGGCTCTGTGAGAGTAAGACACCCTCTGTTTGGATCTGTTTAGTCAAAATGTACTGCTTATGCTGTGTTCACATCAGGGCTGTGCTAGCATAGTGGCTGCTCCATCAACACTGTAAATGATGTTTTCCAAATGAGGCATAAATATGCTTAAACACTTTGTGAACATTTGCTGCAAGGTCTTTACATTGACTTGCATCATAAAAATGTTTTGGTGTAAAATTTGATGGAAAGATGTGTAAGAAAAACGTTTTTTTAACATGCATAATACAAATGACATATCATAACTGTAACATAAGCCCACCAATAACCAGTGAAAAAAAAAGGTGTGACTGCTTGTTAATGGAAATTCCCTTAAAAACGTATCAAAATCAAATCATTAATCTGTTCTTTAATTTCCCCACAGACTCTCTCAAACCCAATCCCATCATACTGGGCCAGAAGAAGGTGTATATCCAGTGGAGTAAGGGGAAAAAGTTACAGCTGGTGGTGGGGGGCTATGCCTACTTGCTCCCCTGGACGACTGTAGTCCTTCGCTGCCCAACCAGAAACTTCCGCAAAGGCCAAATCCGATGGTTGAAGGAGGGAAAGCCCTTAACCGGCCCTCCGCATCTCTCCATGACATCACTGGGATACGTGAAGTTTCAGCAACTTCATGCATCGGACGCCGGGATTTACACATGTGTCGCAGGTCAGGCACGGGAACATTTTGTACTTCAGATCATCGGCAGCAAACACAAACTCTCTGCTCCAGCATCATGGCTCCTTGGGGGTGGACAACAAAAGGTTAGGGAGACAGACGCAGCCATGAGAGAAAGATTTCAAGAGCTACCCGTCCCCCTGAACCGATACGACAACATTGTGGAGCAATTGCTTGAACTCAAAGGCTCTCTCCAAGATGAGAAAGACCCTGCTGATAAAACACAGAATAACCGCTCCACCCTGGAGGACGAGAGAGCCAATTCAGAACTTTCTAGCCTGCTCGTACTCATAGCAGACACCCAGAGGCTAGATGAGATCATGCACGACCTCTCTGAAGGAGGACAAAGGGAGGGGCAACTCATCGCACAGTTGCTCAGTGAGCTCGCTATCACACAAGGCGAAAACAATGAGTCTACACTTCATCCCCCGGAGAAAGCAGAATCCTCCACACAGGTGCCCCCGCTTAATAAACCCAGCATCAAAGCTCCGCGGCTAAGAAGCCCGGTGATAATCCAGCGGCCCCGGAAGGTGGGGGTGGTCCCGTCCTCTGAAATGACTGTACATGTGGGGGTCCCGGCTCTGCTGCAGAAACCCATTGCTAGTTTGGAGCTGAGGTGTGAGGCCCTGGGGAACCCCGAACCGTCTCTGACATGGACAAAAAACGGCAAAGAGCTGCACTACAACAGCAGGTAAGAACTGCCCTTTAAAGGTCACCTGTTATGCAAAATCCACTTCTTCATGTCTCTTCTACATCAACATGTGTCCCCTCTGTGTGAAGAGATTATGAAAGTTTCAGGAAAAAAGATTCTCTCTCTTTTTGTCCTGATCCATTTATATAAAAACCTGTCTGAAAATTCAGCGGATCAGATTTTGGTCACGTTGTGACGATTTTTTTCTGCAGGTGTTGTTGTTAAAAGTAGCCGATTTAGTGGTTGTGTTGTCTTCGTGTTGGCAGAGTAGGCCTGTTGTCCTCCGGCTCACTGAGGATCCAGTCTCCAAGCAAGCCGGATGAGGGTCTGTACACCTGCACGGCCAACAATCGTCTTGGAACAACATCTCTTTCATCTTTGCTGCAGATTACAGGTACGCCGAATCTCACTTCTAGCATGTTGGAATAAACTGCCAGCTAATTCACTTCTGGAGGGGTCTTATTAAATAATTCCCCCTCAAGTTTTTCAATTAGTTAAGGAAAATGTCTTAGAAAATTGCAACAAACACCTTAAATTAATTTCTAAGGAAAGAAAAAAGAAAACGAAGCAGGTTACCACTTTAAATATGTTGTACTGTATATATAATACACAGTTAAGGTTAGAGACCAACTAAGGACTTTTTAAAGTGTTTTGCATACCCCGGTGTCTCTTCATGCTGACTCAGTGATTGGGGATGTCCAAAGCGTGACACAGCACGTTCATATCTGAGCTGCGCTGTCATTCGTCTCATCGGAGCCTGATTATTGGCGACCTTGCTGCATTTTGATCAAAGCCGCCGGCCGCAGGGTCTTCCTGATGCTCCGGCACTCTTTCTCCCCATACGACAACAATTAGAGGTTGCAGGCAATGTTTCAAAGAAGATTAACTGGGTGCACCCCACTCGCTTGACCTCAAAGGAAGATAAAGGGGCTTAAAGGGGCTGAAAAGTGTCCAACCTGCGCTTTAAATCAAAAAGTGGTTATACCCATTGTATTTATCTTGATGCCTAAATAAAAAACACATATCAGGACTTTTGGTGTCAAAATCATCTTCAGATACACCCAGTTTTACATGGTGTCTTTTTTTATTTCTGCTGAATCCAAGACCACAATAATATCGTTTTAAATGTCTGTTTTCAGGTGGCAAAGGAAGAAGCTGTGTCCAAAGTAATGGCATTGGAGCAAATGGGCCTATCTGCTCTGAGAGGAGCAACAGCAGCCAGTCTGCAGAGCTGTGCCACGGACAGGCCTGCCCCCTCAGGTACACTGCTGCTACTACATGCTGGTCACATTCCTAATTCCCCATTTACTTGCATTCCAAACTTACTACATGTACCTAGAGAACTGGCAACTTTATTTTTTAAGGAAAATACTTAGATGTTTCCGGGATAGCACAATGCTAAAGACTTAAAGGTATATGGAGTTGTATGAAGTACTTCTCCATGGTCAGTGTGTGACTGGCCCTATGGAAAAAAAAGACAGGAGTGCAATCGAGAAAAAAGCAATGTACTGCTGAGGGCAGAAGCAAATTGTAAGACTGTCTGATGACAAATTAAAGCAGTAAATATATTCTAAATATAGCGTACAGTTAAAACTGATATTTATTATTTAGGTGTGTAAAATGCATTTTTCTGCTGCCTCTTTCCACAGCAACACATTACTTCCAGCTGGTACTCTTGTGGAGTTTTATGCTATTTATGCACTGACTATAGATAAGTAGCCTACATGTCTTTACTCTAAAAGGAACAACACATGTCCTTTTAGGTGATGAGTCCCTCTGTTGGCCAAAACAAAGATTGATACTTTATTATTATAACTGTATAAACACTGTAAGTCATTGTCCACTTTTCCTCTGTGGTTGCTTTAGGTGGCGGATGGACCCCTGGTCACCGTGCTCAGCCAGTTGTGGAGGGGGGGTCCCAGAGCAGGAGTGTCCGCTGCCTGAAGGGTCCTGAGGGCCGATCGAGAGAGGTGGAGAGCCGGCAGTGCCTGGGCAGCGGGAGGAGACCCTCCGACAGCCGGCCCTGCAACCAGCTGCCCTGCGCCCGGTGGGCCTCCACCAGCTGGGGGGCCGTGAGTCTGCTTCCATTCACTACACACACTTCTTTACATAGAGGCTGTTTTCATTTAGTTCGAAACAGGTTCAACGTTAGACATTGTGTGTCAGTTCTTGGTCTGTTCATTTGGGGGAGTTTTTCATATGTACTTTTTGGTGTTTATTTGTTTTACAAATTATTTAAAGGGGAAGTCTGTTGCAGTAAGGGAAGTCACCCTTTTTATCTTTGTTAATGACATGCACATCATGTTTAAAAATGCATGTCTGTCTAGCTGACACAAGGAAGTATGTCATCTAAAAAGCTGAACTCGCTTGTAATTCTGATTAAATCTTCCCTTTTTAGTGTCATGGTCAATGTGTGGGTCCCAGTTTGGCTACACAGCACCGCCATGTTTACTGCCAGGACATAAACACCACCAAAGTCTCCTACAGGATGTGCAGTGGACTCCAGAGGTAAATATGGGTATTATAATATAAATGTATATCAGGAGATATGATGTTGATGTGGAATAGATAATATCACATTTTCAGTGTAAAAGCCACTCCCCATGTATTTCTTCGAGCTTCCTGACCATTTCCTGTTATGCATTTGTATTTTTAGACCCGTCTCCCTGAAGAATTGCTCCACAGAGGCGTGTCTACTCCACTGGCGCGTGGGGCCCTGGACGCCGTGCACCGCCACCTGTGGACGGCACGGCTTCCAGTCCCGTCAGGTGATCTGCGCGCACCGCAGGACAGGGAAGGCCACGCGGGAACATCACTGCATGTGGAGGCCCCGCCCCCCCAGCTGGCAGCGATGCAACATCCTGTCCTGCGGCAGAGGTGAGGGGAAGCTGCACGATGGAAAAATGTAGAACTGGTTGATTTAAAAATGATTTGATATACCATGTTGAATATAGTATTACTGCATTTGTTGATGGTGGAAATTCCTCGGGAGTCATATCAAATGTAAGGGGAATAAAAACAAGATTATGCTCAAATAGCATTACAAATATACACTTTATAAACCCTTCAGTTATTGTACTGAATAATCACACATAGGGTATTTAGCATTGTACTACAAACAAAAACAATTAGCATTATTACAAAAGCAGATAAAGTGAGAAGAATAGACTTGCATATCAAAAATAAATCATAAATAAAAAATATATATCAATATTAGTATTGATTATTAAACACATTTTCTTTGTTTTTTAAGATGTTGTAATTTATGTTTCTATTCTTGTTTACTTATTTTACCGATTTACTTGTATTGTTGTTTTTTAAGGCAATGACTAGTATTGGTCCTCTTATACACTTTGTATTTATAAGTCTGTTGTTTTCACATGCACACACATTTCCTTCAGGGTTAATAAAGCTTACGATAGGTTAAACTAGATCTTGTCTTGTCTGGTCTTTATCGTGTGGAGAGGCTTAAAGTGAGTATTGGTATTAAACTGCATCGTCTGTGTTTTCCAGCCGGAGAGTGTCGGGACAGCACGAGGTACTGTGAGAAGGTCCGGCAGCTGGAGCTCTGCACTCTGCCTCAGTTCAAGAGCCGCTGCTGTCATTCCTGCAAAAACACCTGAGGAGGGCGAGGGGGGGTTAAGACGAGGGCCAGGGACGACCTGGAGAAGTCGGGGACGGCCAACAGAGACTTAAAACCTGGACGCCCCATCCTCACACCCACAGCTGTGTCCAGTGGTCAGCGCTGGATGTGGACACCTGAGGAACAATTGGATGGTGGTGATCCACTTCCCTCAAAGAAATCATGTGTGGGTTTGAATTTTCCAAGATGTGAGAGGAGTGACCTTTGATGAAGTTTTACTTCTTTTTAAATCTGACGCTCATGAAGCTTTTCTGAATTAAGCAAACGTAACGTATGATACATTTCCATTGTGAGTGATTGAAACTGCTGGTGACTGCGTGGTATCATAAAGGGGAACTCATAAATCACATTCAAAACAAGGTTTATTGACAAGTAGGTTATTCATATACAACCTGGGATTTTCCAAGTCACAAATAACAGTATATAAAAAATACTGGTAGTTTCAGGGTATTCCTCAAATAATTTCACAACAGTTGTGCAATTAGGCCTATAAACACAAATGTGTAATTCATTGACTTTTTGTTCAACTATTGACTTCTGGGTAGCCCTCTGAGCTTCTGATAACCACTGGATAGTTGTGTGTTTTGCCTTTATTGCAAGGGTGTCCAGAACAGTGTTGATGAAAAAGTTTGATGCTAAATACATTTGTAATAAAGAGTTGTGGGTAAACTCTAAACACAGCCTAATCCTCTGAAGGGAAATGGCTGTCATAATATCTGATCATGGTACAAATGGTATCATCCGCATGGGAAAATATTAGGTAATCTAGCACACGTTGTTATCCATCGGTCGGGTCATTCGGAGGGCAAAGGAAGTATGATTTCAGAAGTTGTAGCTGCATGTTTTTCAGAATAAAAAGTACATTTTTATCTTGCATGGGTTGCACTATGGACTGAAGCAAGTCGAATTTTATGAGAAATACACATTTATATTGCACTCAACTCATCCAAGTCTTTGTTCAGAACATTGCTTGCGGAGTTCTTTTTAGTTTGTAAAGTTACATTGTTTATATATTTTGTGATTTTGTTTTGTATTTCTCGTTAAAATATTTGTTTAAATGTCCCTTTAACCACTTTGTGAACAGGGTGTAACTGTTCCTCCCCTCCAATTAAACCCCATTTTTTTAGTGTGACATTTAAGGAAAACGGTTTCAATTGAAAGACCTTATGTCATTTCTTTGACAGATTTCAGTGTTGATTGAGCATAACTCTGCGTTATATTTCAATATCGGTTAAAACATTAGGGAGCTTTTTTAAAGATCATTACTTGTGCCAGATCGGCAGGGTTTGCACTTTCTGACTTTTCCCCCCGAGTTCCTTGATGCTTCATCATCAGATACCTTCGCATGTGTGGTAATTTGATTTTGTGAAAGTAAAAACATGAAAAACATATGACCTATTCTATTAAGTTATGTAGATATTTGGTATGTCCTTTTAACTATTTATTTCCATGTGTGTTCTTGTGCATAGTTTTGTAAATAATTGCAGGGGTGGGTTTTAAGTATTCATTTTCCAACCGTTTTTGGGGTATTTCATGTGCATGCAATAGGGACCCTCTGCTGGTGAACTGATGTATTGCTTTCTGCTCATGCCTGGTTTATCATTTAATAAAGCCAAATACATTCCTTTTATAAACTGTTTGTTGTGGATTTTTTTTGAAAACAAAACTGGCGGCATTATTTAGTCCCGTCATAAAGCTGTGATTGTTTTGATATGTTTCTTTAATTTACATTACTGCAATGGGAGTTTCTACAGTTACCAGAAAAACAGGTTGTTACAGCCTCAAGTGTTAACATGTAATAACCCTGCGTTCATGTGCTTGACACACTGGAGTGTACTTCCTTCTTTTCTTTCTCATTTACAACAAACAGTTCACTTTCTACTTCTCCGCTCTGGAAGAAGGACATGCTTTTGCATGATTCCTCTGAACTAAGAGGGGACATTGCTTTACAAAATGAGAGAAATGCTACAATTCACAAGGCTCCATCAGCACATCATAACTTTACTTTTCTGATTCGTGCTGGGGATTTTTTTTCAGGTTCGTTATGGTGGAAAGGGATGGTTGTAATTCTAGTTTGAAAGCACTCAGGGTTCTGCGAGTTTCCCTGGTGGATGAGCTGGAAGGACGAATTGACTCTCTGCTGGAAATCTTAGTAAGTCGGGAAGTGTTCACTCGTGACGATCGTGAGGAGGTGTTGTGTCATTTGGGACCCCGGGCAAGAGTAAGAGAGGTGTTGGATATCCTGCAATGTAAAGGCAATGAAGCAGCTGATATTTTTCTTTCAATTAGTCATCATCAGCAAGAAGCACAGACACACCCCAAAGAAGGAAATGCAGATCCACCTCAATCCGTGGGTATGCAATTCAATTCAAAGTTGGTACATTTAAGATGAAAAAAATGCTGCAAATTGAACATGTGGAAAAGCATTAAGAGTACTTTTTTTTAAATCACATTATCTTCTCTTTGCAGAATATAAGAAAGTCCAACAAAAGCATAAAGATGTCATCAAGCGGCGGAGTGAGAGCATGCTCTTCTACAACACTCGACACGGGGAGAAAATTCTTTTTTCCGAACACTACGTCAATCTCTTGTTGGCAGACGGACACCAGGGCTTGGATATGAAAAGACATGAGGTGCTGACGTTTGGGCAAAAGCGACTGTCTTTGCAGCAGAAGTCAGCGGTGCAGAGAAAAATCACACCGGCCGAACTCTTTCTAAGCACAAATGGAAAACATCCAGTCAAGAAAGTGTTGGTGTCGGGGGTGGCGGGCATCGGAAAAACGATCCTGGTGCAGAAGATGCTTTTTGATTTTGGAGGAAACAGGGACCATCTTGGATTTGACTTCATCATCCACATGACCTTCAGAGACCTCAATCTGATCGACAAACCTACGAACTTCCGCGAGCTGGTGCTGCGTAAAAACAGGCACCTGGCTAAGGAACTGGATAACATTTTAGAGAACGACCACAAACTGCTGATCATCTTAGACGGCTTTGATGAGTTCAGACACTACAGGAGCTGTGATGTAGACACATTCGTGACCGAGCCTGATGAGGATGCAGAGGTGGTGGAGGTCTTAGGGAGTCTGATGCAAGGCGAACTGCTCCCCAACGCTTCTATCATGCTCACAAGTCGACCTGCAGCCATCAACCACATCCCGGTGGGCTGCATCGACCGCTTTGTGCTCATCTCTGGTTTCTCCCTGACTGAAGTTCAAGACTTCTTCTTACGGTATTTCCAGGACAGTGCCACTGCTGACCGCATGTTCGCAGTAGTATCGGCCAATGAGCTAATGCTAACACTATGCTACATACCTGCATTTTGCTACATTGTGTGCTGCATCCTTCAAGAAAGCAAGGACCTCTGTGGAGAAAGCCCCAAGACCATGACGGACATTTATGTGCAGTATCTGGTGGCCTTGCTTCGCTCTCACACTCAAGCAAGAGCCCAAACGTTTTGTGAAGGGCAAAAGGAAGGGCTTTCTAATGTCGTACTGAAGCTGGGTCGACTCGCCTTCCTAAAGCTGATGGAGCATCAAACACTATTCTACAGCAGCGACAAAGACGTGGCAGAGCTAGAGGGATGCATCCTTGTAAGCACCTTCCTGGACAAGACGGTGGCACAAGAGCCCGGCTGCACTGAGGAGGTTTACTCCTTTGCACACCTCACTGTTCAAGAGTTCTTCGCTGCAGTTTATTGCGCGGTGACGGATCACCCGTTACCTGAAGCTCTTCAGCAAACTACAAGTCCTGGGGAGGGGTCCAGCGGCGGACATTTGGACCTCTTCCATCGCTTCCTGTCTGGAATCCTCGCTGAACGCAACGCTAACCTTCTATCAAGGCAGGTGGGGCTGAGTTGCAATAAAGAGAAAGTGGACAGCTATCGTCAGAGGATCATCAAAGAGCTCACAATGCTCTGTGAGAGTGGAGCTCCTATCCTCAACCATTTACACTGCCTGTTTGAGCAACAGGACCCCTCTCTGGCCCTCTCCGTGGAACCTAAAACACTACAGGTTAATGTTAGCGATGAAACACTGTCCCAAATGGATTACAATGCCATCAAGTACTTCCTAAACCTCACCAAGGGGGAAATATTAGAGCTGGATCTGACAGGAACAGGAGTAAGCTGCGAGGCCCTTAGAGATATTCAGCCGCTGCTGCTCAGATGTAACAGACTTTGGTAAGTTCAAGGTAAATCTGGTTTGCATTTGTCACATGGAGGTTTCGTTCTTTGTTTTCAATATCTGCAGGCTTGTGTTCCTAACACTTATCACATAGCATGCAGCAAAAAGTGTCAACAACACCAGCTTGAAAAATATATAATGTGGCTTTTGCACTGATGCACTATTTCATTATTACAGGCTTGGAGAAAATATCCTCGGTATGGACGCAGCTCGGGTCATTGCTGATGTGCTGCAAGTGTCAGAACATTTACAGCAATTAGGGTAAGATGTCAACTGATTATTACACAGGCTTTTTTAGGAACACATTTAAACCAGCTGCAAGAGGATATAAAGGGCACAATGAGAGAATTTGAGAACTAGACTTTTTCACACTTCCCATTTTAGAATCGGATGGACAGACATCGGCGATGACGAACTACTGGCTATTTCTGGTGCCATACGGGCGAATAAAAAGCTTGAAGAGTTGTGGTAAGGACACCATGGGAGGGATATGCCACATTATATATTTTAGGGAAATGAAAGTATTGCCAAGATCATGAATGTCTGAATCATGGTTCCTGTAATAGCTAGAGATGGAATTATGTGGAGAATAGTGTTTAATTATATTTCGCAACTGGTGCAAAGGCAACCTAAATCAGCTCTTCAGTAAACCCACAGTTTTTAAATTCTACCTGCTTTATTGAAATGCCATTCAAATGCTGGGTTCAGAAAGGAAATCAATAGACAAGAACATAAAAAGTATGAAATAATAAAATGTGATCAAAACATAACAAAGAAAGAGTCTATTACATATACATCTAGGCCCAGTCTCTTTTCTAAAGTGTGAAAAAAAAATGTATCACAAGCTTGGCCCTTTATTTTCCCAACTGTATTCCATACTAGCCTTTGGGTGCATGTTTTAATGGCTTTTTACATTCAGCTGCAATTTAGCTTTCAATTTGGTTAAGTGCACTCCAGCTCACTTTAGTAGCACTTTAGAAGCCATACAACTTAGCGTATATTCTTTTGAATCGCAGGATGGAGGGAAACCGAGTGAGCTACAGAGGTCTGCTGTCCCTCAGTGACTTGACCCCGTACCCTCTGAAAAAAATTGTGTGAGTGTTTTTAATAATACAAATTCGAATCTATATTTAGACACGTTTTTTTCTAAAGTCTCTTCCTTTTCATACAGAGCCATCTGGAATGACCTAGCTGACACAGATCCAGACTCCTTTTGCACACAAGAAAGCATAACTGTGAGCTTCACAGACGATGGTATTTGGGAAGGATGGGGGGAATGGGTCTTCAAAAGGTGTGAGGTCAGCAGCAATGATAAGTTAGTAACGGTTCTCCACAAAGTGTGCAACATATCCGTCCACTGCTTGGAAGGCCAGTGGGCGAGTAATTTTTACAAGCAACTGTTACAGCTCATCAAGCAAAGGATTGAGATCTGCACCGAGGACGACATGCTCAGGAAGCTGGAGAAGTTTGAGACCATTTTGAGCTTCTAATAAAGATGAGGACCACAGTTGAGTCATAAGCTAGACAACACAAGTCAAATGTCCCTTTGGTGCTGACTTATTTCTGTGACACGTGCAAAAATGTTTCCTGGCCAGTACGGGTATCGAACCCGCGACCTTCGCGTTATTAGCACGACGCTCTAACCAACTGAGCTAACCGGCCACGTGGTACGAATGTTAAGTTAATACTATATACTAAATCTTGACTTATTTTGGAGCCTTAGTTTCTTGTTTTTGATAATGTTACACTATTTAAACTATACTTAATTTACCTATACACAAAAATATTTTTATGGAGACACTTCATTTAAACTTAGTATTGATATTTTTCATATTTATTGTGATCTTAATGGTCAATGAATCTTGGTCTTTGTGTGTATTACGTTGATATGTCTGTCGTGTATATGTGTATTTAGAAACAATGTTTACAGAAGAAGTTCAATTTATCGTAACTTGTGCACGTTTGTTAATAAAATGTTAAAACTTCAAAGTTATTTTGCATTTTATTTTGAAAGCTAAATAGCGGAAGTGCTTTCCCTGATTCAGATATGACGAAATTATTCTGCGACAACGAAGTAAAGACGATCTTATAAAGTTAGCCAGCAAGCTAACTCGCTTTCTGTTATTTATAGGTCAGCAAGCTAAGCTGTTTCCACATCTTAAACTGGGTGAGTTATTTAAATCATCACGCAAGTGTAATGCTAAGTGAATAATTGAATTGTTTCGAAATTCAGTGGCAATGACTGCATCTTTTTTTTTAAAAGCTTACCCGCGAATACTCATAACAACTTACAGCTGTTTGCTAAAGTCTGGTAGCTATAGCTAACACACTACGTAATTTGGCTTTACGTAGAAGCTAATGTAGAGTTGCTACATGTCAAGCTAACGGTGTTTTAATAACTAGCGATATACATGTAATGTGTTGATGCTATTCAAGGGGTGCGTTCATCATAGACTGGTGTATTCAGCGTATGGGAGTTATTAAACTCAATATGAATACTTGTCAATGTAATGTACTTCTCATGTGGTCATCCCATGGTCTAACATTCTTTATACAAATAAACATTTTAAAAGATTGGTAAGGTAAACAATGAAGCGAGATTGATGTTACAATTGAGTTTGTATGATACTAATTTGTTTAGCCAATTTGAGAGTATGGGTTTAAGACAGGATAAGATTTACATTACTGATCCCAATGTAGGATTTGTTCCTTCATAGCAGCTAGTAAAAACGGAATTGCACATAATGTGAACATGAAATAAAATAGAAAACAAACTATAAATATCATAAAATAGAAAATAACACAGAGCTACAAATCTAATATAAACATATTGACAGTGAAAGATATATATCTGAAGCCTATCTTTAAACTATGAAGGGCCACATTTCAACTGAACTATATGAAGGGCCAAGGATTTATCAACATCTGCTGGCTGTTTTTAAATATTTAACATATACAAGACACAATGAATTGCTGAGAACATACACCCTTTTGAAAGGTCTCCTATATAAGTCAGTAACCTGAAGGACTGCTTGTACTTCCATTTTTTGCATGAATAATTTCATAAAAGATGTATCAATTATCAAAATAGTTGCAAACTACTATTCTGTTGATCGATTATTTGTTGCAGCTTCACTGAAGAAAGCATATGTTTGCTCCCCTTCTTCATTCTAGAAATCGTACACCTTAATGGACATAGCTCTGCTAATTTACTGTTTTTAATTAAATCTGACAATGACCTGTGTCACAGTCCCACTTTCAGGATGATCGACACAGAGAGGGGAGTTGGTGATGCTGGTCCAACTGAAGCCAGCAGTAAGAGCATGGAGCTGGAGAAAAAGAAGAGGTCCCGTGTCAAACAGCTGATGGGGGACGTGAAGAAGCAAGTGGAGTTCTGGTTCGGAGACGTCAACCTTCACAAGGACCGCTTTCTCAAGAAACTCATCGACGAGTCAGACGATGGATGTGAGGGAGAACAATAATACTCAGCGTTATTATCAGCCATTTCATTATTTAGTGCACATTTTGAATAGAAGGCACTGCATTATGTCTAAAGCAATTGACTGCATTTTCTTTTTAGATGTCGACGTGTCGGTATTGGCGAGCTTCAATCGGATGAAGAGGCTGACAACCGACACCAAGCTGATTGCAAGAGCCGTGAAAAATTCATCTGTCGTTGAGGTACTTTGAGCAGAATCATGTCGATCTTCTGTAGGATTTCTTAGATGTTTTCCATGGCTCAATAAGTCTGTTTAATGCATTGACCAGAATGTGTTTGTATTTTGTTTCAGGTGAACTTCGAGGGAGATAAAGTGAGACGTCAGTTACCGATTGGAGACATGCCGAGTAATGTGGACAGCCGCACTGTCTATGTGGTAAAAAGAGTTTCATTTGATTATGCTATCATCTATAGTACAACATGTTAATCTGCTCTAAGCTTTTTCATGTGGGAGGCTTTTTGACAAACAAGACGTTATTTAATCTAGGCTGAATCACTAATGGAAGCAATCGTTACTCGCAGCTCTATTTCGAATCATAAAATAATTAATGTTTTCTTTCTTTGCCACAAGGAACTTTTGCCCAAATATGTGTCGCACGGCTGGATCGAGAAAGTTTTCACGAAATGCGGGAATGTGGTATATGTCAGCATCCCAAGATACAAGACCACCGGAGACCCAAAGGGCTTCGGCTTCGTGGAGTTCGAGACCGAGGAGCAAGCACAGAGGGCCACAGAGGTAAACGCACATTATGAATAATTGCTAATCCAGCCCAGTGTTTTGCTTCTGTCAGGAGGAAGTCTAACGGAACATGTTGATCTCTTGAGAACAGATGCTCAACAACCCCCCTGAAGACGCTCCCAGGAAGCCTGGGATGTTCCCCAAGTGCAAGAAAGGGAAGCCCCTCCCTCAGCCGGCCGACAATCCTCAATCAAGTACCGCTATTCAAAAACATTCCTTATTTACTTCTCTTTAACATGTTCTGATTAGTTTAGATCAGGGGTGTCCAAACTTTTTTCACGAGAGCCACATGCAGAAAAATATACGAAGGGCTGGGCCCCTCACTACAGGTGAGGTTTGTTGTCTCAGAAGTGAAGTTATAAGTGGGCAAAAGCCATCAAATGTAAGTAGATGATGCTTAATCAGCGTACATCACAGCTCTCCTGAGGGTTTCACGTATTTTGTTGGCCGCTCATTCCTTACAACAGAAGCCTCAGATTGCTTATAATAAGAGGAAGGGTATATTTCAAGCTTGTTATGAAAATAAGTTATATCTTTTATTGGGCTTATCAACACATGAATACTACCATATAATATGTTTACATCTATATTTAAGAAGTAAAAGACAAGCACACGTTTCATTTGAGGGCCATACTGCATTCATTTGCTGAGGGCCGATTCAAAATGGTCCGCGGGCTGCATTTGGCCCCGGGCCGTAGTTTGGACACCCCTGGATTAGATAAAGGTTATTGCTTGCTTTTTCCATTGGGAAAAACAAACAATAACAGTAAATAAATATTCATATTAACAGTAGTAAGATAAAATGTATAGAGTAACTATAGTTAGAATGATATAATGGATCAATTTACTACTTAGAAAGAATATATAAACATAAGATACTGTATACATACATAATAGAAGTGTGCAGTTTGACTACAATATGTACTAAGTTCAGTTCAGGGTTGACGGGGAAAGCTAGTAAGAAAAAAATACAGAGCTAAGGAGAGTTCACTGACTGAAATAAATCTGATGCTGCCATAATAACCAGAAAGAGCCTGGAGGTGCAATGTGTTGTATTGATGCCATGTCTTGACTACAGGTGAAGAAGAGGAGAAGAAAAAGCGAAAGAAGAAGAAAAAGAGAGACAGTGCCACAGCGCAGACTTCCGCTGAAGAATCTAAAGAGCAGGAGATGGAAGCAGAGCCGTCTGAGCACAAGAGGAAGCGCTCCTCAACGGGGGATTTTAAATCGGAGGACCCTGGCACTCTGAAGACGCCGGAGAAAAAAAGACGACGGTCCCAGACAGCAGAGGGACCTGAAAGCGAAATACCATCCAAGATGAGGAAGACGAGTAAATGTGAAGCTGGAGAGAAGGAGCAAGATTCAACAAAGACGAGTAAGTGAGCAGATTATGCTCCGAAATAATACGAATAATTAAAATACAATACAAATGTTTCCTTTTACTCCTTCCTCTGTCTTTGCTTTGTGTTTTCACAATCTGAAAATACATGCCGATGCGTTTTTACAGCATTGCAACCATGAGTCAGTTGTTTTCAGCGTGTTATTCCCCTTTTCAGACCCGCCCACTAAGAGTGACACAGAGCGAGGTGTTGAGGACGGGAAAGAAAATGGAGATGATTCTACAGTTAAAGCAAAGAGGAAGAGAAATAAGAAACACAAGGAGAAACTGAAAATCGAAGAAGAAGTCATCCCACTCCGGGTTCTGTCAAAGTAAGACCCCACATCCCTTTTTTCTGCATGTGTCAACACCAATGAGAAAATAGATGAAAACCCCTTTTCATAGTGAAATTATTTCAACGCATTGATTGAATAACTCCGTTCCTCTTTCGTCCACGTCAAGGAAAGATTGGCTCGAGTTGAAGGATGAGTATCTGACCCTGCAGAAGAAAAGCATGAAGTCCCTGAAGAAGTGCATTAACCAGATCCATCACCAGGCGCCCCAGAAAGTGGTGGAGAAGAAGGACGATCCTAAAGAAGAACACGGTGAGTTTGTCTCAGACGGACTGACTGCAAGCTGTTTATTTACATGTTTCATGTAGTTCTTTAAAACCATTGCTATAAGCAGAGGTCGTAAATGAACCCATGCTGATATTCCCTTGAAAACCAAAAATTGCAAAGATATAAAAGCAAAAATGTATGCCAAAATCAGAGCTTTGATGCACATGGCTTGTTACATGACATGTTAAAATAATGTTCGGACGTCACTGGGTGGACTTGAACCACCAACCTTTCGGTTAACAGCCGAACGCGCTAACCAATTGCGCCACAGAGACATGCCTCATGTTGTGGGTGTGGCCTCTTGTTGATTAGTCATTATCTGCGCACAAAGCAAGGTCCTTAAAGGCATGGTTTGTTTAAGACCTTTTGGGAATTCTGTTTCTCATGGGAAACACCTTTAGTTTTTTTCCCCTTTACATATCAGTGAACATGGCATGAACACTGTCAAACCGGTTGTTAAAGTTATTTGTGTTATGCAATAATGCTGTTTTTCCCTCTCAAATATAGAGATTTCCTGATTTGTCCAGTTTTCTATCAAAATAGAGTGGATTTATTTTCATGTATTGGGTTTTTATAAAACCGCGATGAACCTTTTTCACCATTTTATAATGACTCGTTATTCTTGATATAAATTATTGCGCCAATTATTTTCTCGATAAATTAATAGTGAAAATAATCGATCAAATTGAAATAATCTGTCGCATTTGACTTACAATAACATCACTGAACATGACATAAAGACTGTCGAACCGGTCTTATCCACAGTATTAATATCACCGTGTTACTCCAAAAACATCACATTTGAGGGAATGATATTGAGGAGCTAGTATTATTGAACCATCTTGTTGTGTGTGTTTCTTTCCGCTAGTTGAGAAGAGTGAAAAAGAGAGTGAAAAAAGTGAGAAGGTGAATAACCAGGGCCCTCAGTATGCGAGCGGAGTCATCCTGAAGATCACAGACAGCAAGCCGCTGCCGGCCAGGAAGGTCATCAAGGTACAGTCCAACATTAGCATTATTATCATCTGTGTGCGAATCATGAATAAAGACTCTCAAAACTTGTATCAATAGTTTATTTATCATATGCAAAGTTACAAATAAACAGACATTCCCAATAAGAAATCTCTGTCACCCTCTAGCAGTTCTCCTTTCATATAAATATGAAGAAAAACACAACACGCCAAATTAGAATCTAAATCATGAGGTTAAAATACAAACATAAATACAATATTAAATACAATTATATAAATATGTGGTGGTAGACAATATTACATTTATAATGAAGCTTATTGCAAGTTAACATTTGAATGTCAACAGAGATGTAATAAGGATTTTGAGAAGTAAAAAACGACACAAAAAGCAGTTTGTATATAATGTGAAATAAAATGGACCTTTGCATTGTTTGAATAAAAACATTTTAGAAGCACCTTTTTCAAATGTAAGTGTCTGTGATAGTATAAGAGCACAATATCAAATGATAAAGGAGCATTTGCCTCCTGTGGAAATCATTAAACCATTAATATGACAACTATTAAGTGAGCTAGTTATCAATAAGTTGTAATCCTGCATATATTTGTATTATTATGAACCAAAGCTTAACTCTGTGGTGTTCTGTGCAGGATGCTCTGTCCAAAGTGTCCCCTGTGGCGTACATCGACACGCTGGATGGAGATTCTGAGGGTCACATCCGCTTTCACACCCCCGAGGGCGCTAAAGCTGTGAGTGACGTGAGAGCAGAGCTGCAGAAAGAGCACAGCTGGGCGCTCGAGATCCTCTCAGGTAGGAATGGTTACTTTGCTGCCTATAGGCGCACTTCATCATCTCTCAGTTTACTCGGCTGCTTTTTAAAACGTGTGATTATAGGAGGTCATTCGCTTGTTTTACATTCTCTTTTCAAGGATCACAGATTTCATTTTGCGTCGTGAGTATTAATCTCAGCGATGTAAATATCTGCTCTATTTTAAAGGCGATCATGAACAACGGTACTGGCAGAAGATCTTAGTGGACCGACAGGTGAAGCTGAATCGCCCGAGGGAGAAGAAGAGGGGCACAGAGAAGGTGAGATGAACCTCTAGATTTTTAAATAAAAACATAGTTACCATGTTACCGTGCACAGCAATATATTATTGATTGTTCCATTAGTATGAAACGACATGTTAACAGTCATTTCTTAGCACATGTATGAGAAATTACAATCTTTAGCTGTGATATAGTAATACAGACTTTAAGTAGTGTTTTGATATTGTAAAATGCATAACAGACAGCCTATCCTGACTGCACCTGGATACACATTTGACATATGAACAAATACGGGTAAAGCCCAGCCTCCTTACTTTGTTTGATCGCTCTCACATCTGGTTTCTCATTGTGTAACACTTCAGCTCATATCCAAAGCCGAAAAAATCATCCTCGCCCGGGCCAAGGAGGCCACTAAGCACATCCGTTTCCAGGAAGACTGACGACTTTTTGACCACAAACACGATGAACTATGTGGACTTTACTCCAAGGGGACTTTTGATGTTTATGAACTAGCTGGAGGAGAACTGAATGCAACATTTCATGAATTACGTGTTAAAATGTGTCCTTTTTTTGTTAGCACTGGAGCACCCAAGATAATATGGAAGGCTGATATGCATATGGACAATTTGGCCACATTTACAAAAAATGATACCTTTTATGTTTTTTAAGAAAGCTTTAGTTGTATATGGTGTAAATATGATTGATTTGAAAGTTCTCCCAGTTCAGACGTGGACAAGTCCAAGCTTTCCTTTTTGAGGATATTTGTCTTTGTTTTTTTAAATAAAATGTAATTATTTCATTATTACAGTATCTATTGTTTGGTGTTTATAACATGTTTATCAAGTTTGTGAGAGGAACAATTGTACTCATTCCTAAATAATACTACGGAGCGTTTTCATTTGAACACTAGAGCTTAATAGTCCAATATCTTCTTGATTCCTAAATCATGAATTTATTTGCTACTCGGAATATGGAAACCTTCAGTTAAGTAGATTATAAAGCACTCCAAATATGCTGTGGAGAATCAGTGAGATGCTTAATAGTATACAAATAGCTGCCATTACATAATAGCACTGCTGTTAATGGCTTTTATTGCTGCAAAGGTGGAGGCTACCTGAGGTAACGTGTCCTCAGAGAGCTCGGCTTTTGGTGGACACCGTGTAGCTGTAGATGTGGTGTTCCTCAGAGCTCTCTGGGCTCTCCTCACAAATCCCACCATCGAACCAATTCACTGCTTTGTCCCCAAAGCTCTTCTGGTACGTCCTGGATTGTTCGGTGTCCGGGGAGGTGCGATCCAAGCTGGGAGATCCTCCGTCTTCAGCAGAACGAGGAGGTTTTTCGGTGGGCTTGCACCCTTCAGTGTCACTCACTTTGGGATTAAGGCTGAAAGGCTTCTGGTTTGTGTTGTAGCTCTCGATAGGCTGATGTGTGATCAGTGAGAAAGTTGTCTTCTTGGGCCGGGCCAGCTCTGGCCTGCACCTGGGTGTGTCCCAAGCTTTGTAGGCCTCCCTCATGGTGGTTGTGGACTCAAGGGGCTCGTTGGCCCTCTCTCTGTGCTCCATTGGCAGTATTAGTTTGGTGCGCTGACATTTGTGTGCCGGGAAGTCTGCGTGTGTTGTGGAGATGAACTGGTTCACATCTGCAGGTTGAATGGACTCTTTGGCTTTACCTCTGCCCTGGAACTGGGTTTCAGGGGACCCGTTCTCCAATGACTTATGGGCTGCGTCAAAGAGTTCCCTGTAGAGGGGCACTGCCACCTGTTGAAGCAGACCTTTGTTTTGCTGCACCGGCTGTTCCCTGCGTTTCCTGGGCTGCACTGGATGGGCGACATAATCTGATCGGTAGCTGGTGATGCTTTCAATAGGCTGAGGTTCTAGCTCCTTTGGGACTGTTTTGCAATTAGCTCCAACGTGAACTTTCTGGAAGGGACTTTGTTTGGAAGTGCTGATTGGGGGAACTAGTCCTTTGTTGACTTTCAGGCTGTCAGTTAGCTTAAATGGCTGCCGCTTGATTACATTCCATGCCTGGAAATCACCTGAAAATAAGAGAAGGGGAGAATGGATTTAAAATCAGAGTGTGTGTATTTGTTGTTCTCCAACGTATGATTCTACTTACCTTTGTACACCGATGTGTAAAACATGGCTGCCACCTGGTTGGCTATGGAGCGCGCAGGATTTTGGGGAGCGCTGCTGCATCTGCGTTGGACTTTAGGGGGCAGAGACTGCTGCGGAGCCTCCGGTAGATGGTGCGTATATTTGTGGGTTACATAGACTCTTCTGAAACGCATTAATGATATGAGCTTTAGCTTTTTATTTTGTCTGTCTTATACAGGTTTAAAACCACACCTCCTCCAACATTCTCCTCATGCTGTGTGAGCTGTGAGCTCAGGGTTCCCATGGCCATGGAAAACCTGGATTGTTGTGACATTTAAAAATCTATTTCCCCCCAATCAGTTAAATCCTTTTGAAACACACAATTCTACATTAGTAGTTGTTTACATTCATATGATAGTTAACATTTGTAGACAGTTCTGTTTGTGTAGGTTGTCAATGTTCTAGGATTTGTTATCAGGAATCATTTTGTGTCCTGTTCAACACTAGGGACCTACATTTCCCAGAATGTCTTTCACCACAACACCTGTGCACCCAGCAGCACTGCAGCATGGACTGTTGTGCCTCACAGGTGGGGAGGTACAGACACACTCTCAAATGTGGGACTAGACTTTTAACTCTTACATGAGCGAGCCCTTGTCAGAGCTGGTCCCTTTCAGCGTGTGGTAAGGGGCTTTTTGTGGGGCGCTGGTAACCATGGCCGCGTAGCAGCGCGGGGGGATGAACTTCTCTTGGTACTCGGTGGACATGGAGATCCGTTTGTGGGCTCTCTCTCCGAGCGGCTTCCTGGACACCAAGGAAAGGCAAGTTTAACTCTCAAGAACATTGTGTTTAATCCACACAAATCCTATTAATGCTAGAAGTATCAAATAAACTAAAGTAAATATAAAAAGGTTTAAATACTGAGTCGACAACTCAGTATTTAAACCTCAGAGTAGAATACAATTAAACATTTAACTCATGAATGTTATTTTACCTACATTTGTGTGCCTGAGTTAGCACATTTCTACATTTTCACAATGATAATCAAAAAGCAAGTTTTACACATTGGGCTTTTGTGTTTTAATCTACATACAAACTGGTTACCAATAAGAATGTAAAACAACAAAAGGCAGTATAAAAAGGTTTAAAATGCATAAGTAAAACACACAGCGAACACATACAACTGAATACAACAGTTGTCTATTCTCCCATTTCTACATTTTAACAAATATAATGTATACATGTGTGGTTTTATAAGCTCTATAACTTTGAAAGCAGCATAAAACCCCTAAAATAAATCCAATTATAAATTTGTTGTAAAATAATCCCTCTGAATACCTTGTAACTGCAGGTAATTCCATTGAAAACAAAGTAACATTTGAAAAATACAAGCAGGTCACTAGCTAGTATTTTGGGTTCTCTTTATGAAAGCCTTTTTCAAATTGTAATATTTCCTCTGTTTAGATCAAATCTTATACAAAGATTATCTCACCTCACAGATGTGGCCGGTGGTTTTCCGTTTTGCTGCCTCATGTTTTGGGGGTGCATCGCTCTTCAGGTGCTTTTTGGCGTCCTGTGTCCCGGGTGGATGCAGCCTGCTCGGTGACTGCTGCAGGCCTACAGCATATGAATTATTGACCGGAGGAACATGGGATGTGTGTTGAACGAGAGTAGAACGCAGCGGACGAGAAATCTAAAAATAAACATCAACGGATTACTGATGCGCCGGTTGTCAAGGCTGCGCGTGATGATGCGCATTTTGGCGTTTAAGGAGGATTCTAATCTCTCCTGTAGTAATGTTATATAAAGCACTTTTGAATGTAAACAAAGTAGTCCATCATCCATTACAATTTCCTCCGTTTTATTTGTAACGCTGAATATGTAAAGTGCAGTTGGATCGTGCATTTTGCAACGTGACTTTGTCGCAGCACCCCATCTGTCACTTTGTAGCATGTCCAAAAAAAAAAGGCAGGGCCAGGGGGGGATATATCTGACAAACACACGCGCACACACACAAGGGAACGGTTGACCTCGTGACCTACTCACGGATGTTGTCATGGGGATTCTACTAGCACAAATGTTGAATTATGAATTATGGAAGCCATAATATCAGATGCATTTCTGTGTTTGTCCACTAGATAGCGCCCAACGCGTTAAAGAACGTATAGAGAGACCACTAGCGCCAGACATAATATAAGCCCTATTAATTAAAAAAAGTATTAATGTAAAGAGTGACAAAACACAGCTTAATACATGGAGTTTTTATTTAGAATCGGTGTTTGATGAATGTCTGTTTGCCTGTTTGTCAAATGTACATGTGTTATATTGGGACCCTTTTATAGTTTGGAATTTAAATAGAAGTATATGGCCTGCTGGAAATACTTGTAGTTTCTAATACATGCTTCTTTCAGTTGTTCTGGCTGATCAGACATCTGCTCAGGTTGAGGTTGCATGATGTCAGAGGACTCAATCCACCAATAAGAGTTTAAGAGTCTAAATCTAACAGGTGCTAACAGAAGATTGAGAGAGATGTCAATCAAGCATCATTATGTGATGCATTGTGGGAATAGCTTTGCCTGCAAACTATGCAAGAAAACAAAACAATAATGTCAGTATCTTGCTGTCTCTGTCAACGGATGCATTTAAAGGTCTTGAGGATTCCTTTTTAAATTGCGCTTGATTTGTGGTCATTGTAAAAGTAACCAGGATTCATGTTGTCATCTTGAAACGGGTGAACAGTGTAGGGGTAGATTCTGATTTGTCTAGTTGCCAAAGTATGCACATTAAATTCAAATGGCAGTTAATGCTTAAACACAGAGAACTTTGTTGCATTGATGGTTAGACTTGTAAACAGATGATCATTGCACCATTCAGGCACACTTCACAGTTATTATGTGGATTATAGTTGATGCAAATTGCAAACATATTGAGACTAAGTCTTCACAATCCTCACTCAATCCACGCAGTTTTGCAGTGTCATGCAATGTGAATCTCTATCCACTGTGTGCATTATCTGCTCTTTTGCGTTACCCAAATCCACTAAATTAGATTGTAACTTGAATTCGAGGCATCTATCAGTAGCAAAGGGACATACTGTGTGCCCTCCTCTGCATGATGTCTAATGAACGCAATCAAGATCTATTCTCATGTGTGCACGCTTTGGTGAGTGCTTCTTTCCTCCCAGAGCTTTTAAGATGTTCGTGCGTTTTTACGCAGCGCCATGGCCATTGACTACGTCAACGTTGCCATTCTTTGGCTGCAGAAAATAAAATTCAAACATAAATTATACCCACGAATTATTTACTATGCGTTCTCTTCTTTATTGCCCTTACAGTAAAACATGTTTTCTTTACAAAAAGCAACCAGTAATTGCATTTTTACGCAGCGTCCTGTTTGAGATGTGACAGGAATACAATATAACTGCACTCCATGTCAACTAATGGCAATAGTGCTCGACTGTAAAAGCGCACAAGGAGCGGGTCAATACATTATGTTAATCAGTCAGGACAGATTGGAGGCGTGTTGTTGCCGTAATGAGGGGGAGCATGCCTGCACCGTGGAAAAGCTCCGAGTGGTAAAGCTGCCTCTGCTACATGCACACTGCCTTCCATTTCCCCAGCCTCTCTTTGTACTTTATTGTGCATTATAGCAATTTCCTCTGCAGCTAGACTACTGTGCAAGCGCTCGGTGCAACAAGTTAGCAGGAGCCGTGCGTGTGCAGGTTGACTTGGCTCCACTCATCTCTCTGTCGCCACAAAGTCCCTGTACGTGAACGCGTCGTCGCAGGCACACACACGCAGCACAGTCACATTGTGCCATACATTCGTGACTCCGCGCCAGATACAGTTTGCTCTCAACACGCGCGTGTAGTTGTAGTTCAATGGAGATCTCGGAGGCAAGAGGAGCATCTAAGTGCGTGGAAAAAATGGAGAAAGAAGTGGCGCCTCAGAAGCGACAACACTGCCGCACAACAGTGGTGAACATTATCTCGTCTTTATGCTCAGTGGCGTCCATCGCCTTTTGCATTCTTCTGAGCATTAACACAGCTGACGTGAAGAACCGGGTTGTGGATTTGGAGAGTGGGAATGACGAGCACACCTTGATCCGAGCCCCGGGCTACTCCATGGATGATTTTAATTCATTGATTGAGCAACGAGTGGATGTTCTGCTCTCTCAGGTAAGATTCACCCTCTTCTTTAATTGTTTTACTTTCCCCTAAACACACACTTTTGAATAAAAACGTCATTCTTTTCACATTTCAGCGCTCATATGAACAATTTGTCAAGATCCGGACTGCCAGACAAGCATCTCCTGAATGCAGCTGCCCTCCAGGTACATACAGCTACTTTTCTCCCATTGCATTGTGGACATGTGGTTTTCTGCAGGTGTGTGAGACTGGGGTTAAGCCTGTGTGTGAGTTGGTGTTAGAATGAATGGAAGCCTTCTGATTCTGCCTTTTAGTGTATTTAATTGAAACCTGATGGTGGCAGTTTGCATGGGCAGTGTTGATAGTTGCTATGAAGGATGCAGACAGCTGACTGCCATTACACTTAACAGAAAGAAAGGCATTTAACAGCGCTCTATACATAGAAGTGCTGAAGGGTTGTTTGAGATGTTGTCTGCTCACTTGGAAAATAAATGTTGAAATTCACATTTCCCACCAGTAGATGGAAACATTTATTCCCTCAGCTTTCTGCTCATTTTTTGGGATGGAGTCGAGGTTTGGTTAGTGAGGCAGTGTGGGGAGATGTAGCTCGAGAGTTTGAGGGAATGCTGCACAATGTTACCTAGAACATCACCTTTTTTCATGTGCATCGGTGTAAGAACTCATTGGGAAAAAACTGTCAATGCTGCTCCTGATATTTGAGCTCCATTATGCTTACAGAATATGATGAGCTACTTACCAATTTGAATGGAAGTTAATGGTTATTCAGCTTTTCAATTAAGGCAAGGCAAGGCAAGTTTAAAAATGAAAGACATTAAGAAAATGGCATTTAAAATCAGTCGAGTCATTTCCATCTGTTAAACATCTCAGGATTGTGGACAAACATTTCTAAAATCAATAATATGAATTGGTGGATAACTGGTCCTACTTTTTAACAAACAAACCCTAAAACCAGCCATTGGATGAAGAAAGCATTTTGTCAAAGCTAAAACCGGGATGGTTAGCTCACAAAAGTTGGCATTTATGAGATTCATGCATACACTTGGATATGTGCATTTCTTTAGGATTCCACTAGATGTGTATTTTTTCTGTGAAATATTGTTGCCTCTAAAAAATTGCACATTTGGGATAAAAACGGAATCCTTGAAATCAGAATAAAGTGTAGTGTGTCACCTTTTTGTAAATACTCAAAATGTACATGCAGAGATGTGCTCTCATTGAGGTACATGTGAACATTAGCTTGTTCCTGCAGACTGCTCTCTGTAACTGCTGAGCCACAGTTAGACTGCATGCTGCAGGAAACTGACTGGCATGTTTTCACAACTTTTGAAAGTCTGATGCACCCGTCCACATCAGAGCCTCAGTGGGCTCCAGCTGGGGATGTAATACAGTAAGTGTGAACATACTGCAGGCGACCTCAATGGAAAGGTTATGGCTGTGACATTGTGCAGAGTGGAAGCCTTGTGGTTGGATTTTTCGGATGGACAATCCAGGTGTCAGAAAGCATCTGTGCAGCAGGAGTGATGTTCCCTTGGCAGGAAGCTGACATCTTACTAACACCAGGGACTGTTCTGTTGGGGACCATGACCCCTCTGTGGAGACAGAAAGCAGTCCTGAAAAATACATTCATTTAAAAAAAGAAGGCCTTGATTTAATAATTCAAGTCTTAAAAATGCTACATTGGAAGAATGATTTCCTGTTTTTACTGATGTTGCATTGTTAAATCTCAACACACTTCTGTTTTAAGAAGAAAGAAAAGATATACACCTCTTGTGTTAACATCATGCAGAACCAGAAAGACGGAATATTTGCGAGTCTTACATCTAACCGCCTTAATCCATGAAAAGATTCCCACTGCCACAAACATAATCAAAGTACCATTATCATAATCAAAGAAACAGGGCTGGTAAATGCAATAACTCTAAATGAATCAGCTGCATTTTCTTGTTTTCACAAGTGATCTTATCAATTGCAAATGAGTCATCTGCTGCTGAGTGGAAATGCCTAAATTAATGAGCCACAAGTACTGAAAGTATTAACCATAATGAGCCTCTCACAATCACGCTGCTCTCTTTTCTCAATCCCTATCATATGCCTGCTATGTATTCTCTCCCACCACATCTCTGTAAAGCAAAAATAAAACAACGAAAACATTTCACATCAAATGAAGCGCGACGACACTCAACCCAGGGCGGCACCGAGCTCCATCTTGGAAACTGGCACTCTTAAAAGTGATTACAGTGGTTACATAAAAACATATATATCATCGGTACACTTTGAAGAGTCTGTAGTGTATTTAATATCGTAAGGTTCATGCAGTGAACTTGTGCCATACTTTGGTAATGCTTTGGAGAAGCTATTTCAGGCCAAGTATCTTTTTATGAATGCTGAATGGGTTCACTCAATATTTATCCTCCCTTCTGTCTAGGAGACAGCCCGTGGCTCAGATGTGGCTTTTTTCTT